AAAAATTTCTTTACCTTCTTCATTCTTTCGCAAGCTTGTTTAGTATAAGTTTAGTATAGTGTTGAAAATGTCCATGCTATTTTAATAAAAAAGTTGAAACCTTATTTAAATTTTATAAATTAGTTTTCCCGATTACCATATAATAGACATAATAGAATGATCTATCTAAAGAATGGTCACTGATCTATAAGTTTTGTATATATTTACGTTCCATATACATCTTAAGTACTTATTAAAACTGTTTAAAATAGGCAAAAAACGATTAGTCAAGATTATTCAATTATTTTAATGACAAGAAAAACATTTATGTTTTGAAACGTGTTCCAACGTAGTCCAAAACATAAAAACGTGGATAATTCGTAACAGCGGTAACAAAAAATCATTGATAAAATCGTAGGTATACATATAGATTCAAATATATAGCAGTATCTGTACATAGAGTATAATGAATACTGAATAGACAAGTCTCGCAAGCTGTGATTTTGGAAAAACCAGTTACTTAAATAAATATTACACCACAGATGAAATATTCTCCATTTGCAAAGTCTAAGGCAATATTCACTTTTTAACATTGGGTTAAACAAAGTCATCTTCCACTTCCTAACTCAATATCCAGTTTTCAACTAAATATGTACACATAAGTTAAACATGAAACAGTCATTGCAATAACTTAATGGTGAAACTAATACATCCTGGTATTTATTATATATAGAGAAAACCCACTTATACCGTGAAAAAAGAATATGACAACATTTTTAATACAATTTGGCTCTCACTTGTTCATTTATTATATAAAAAGAGAGCTAATTAACTATTATGAGTAAACCAAATATATTAAACTAATAACCCCATCCATTATAATCTTGAGGAGATGAGTCAATGAAACGATGTCCATCAATCTAGATGGCTGTCTGAATGTTGGTAATATATTAACTAATTAATTAAAAGTTAATCGCTTATAAATTATCTATATATTAAATTGTTAAAAAATAAATTAAAAAAATACATAATTGAAAATCTAGAGAGTTAGTATTAAATATGTAAAGAACTATTTACTTAAAATATATTAACGGAATCCTTAACGGAACTAAAGTAAATTTTCTGACCTGTTTATTTTTATTTTAATAAAGAATAAAAAATTATTTCCTTTTAATTTTAGTAAATTTTAGTAAATAATTACAAATAAAAAAAAATCATTAAGGTGTTTTGAATAAAATGAGTGATATATTTTTCTTTAGTCAACTCAACTATATCAAGAACGCATTATATTTACCTGAGTTATCATTAGATTCTGTTGCATCGTCATCATCTATAGCTGTACCGTCTATGTAGAACCCAAGCTTGTTGTACGACATTCCTTCATTCTGCTCTATTTTTAGCTTTTATTTTCCAGTTAATGATATGCATTTCTCTCAGATCTTTTCGAACACTGTCATTCCATCTCCCGGTCTTCCTTTTCTTCTCGTTGTTCTAACTTTACTCTCGATGATTCTGGCTGTTGCTCTTTTTTCTGGCATCCGCACAACGTGTCCTATTCACTTCAAGCGTTGCTTTTTAATGTGCTTAATTATTGTGTCACCTTTCATCAGTTGATCAAATTCATCATTATATCTTGTGCGATATTATCCATTTTCTTACTCTGGTTCAAATACTTTTCTCATAATCCTTCTGTCAAATACCGCCAGTTTTGTTGCTTCGGCATCAATTAATCTACAGGTTTCATTCCCAAACTCCAAAACTTTGGTTTTTCTTGATATATTTTTAGATGTCATGAGCTTTCTCATACTGTAAAAGGAACTGTTTCCAATTTGAGTTTGAGTGTTTCCAATTTGAATTTGACGATGTCGTGGATATTCAACATCGTTTTGTTATTCTTGTTGAACGCTGCTCCTAAATATTTAAAGCTTTGAATACGCATTCAAATTCATTGTGCCGATTTTAATAACGTTTGGTGTTATTTTATTTCACAAAATAATCATGTATGTTATTGTATTTTATTGCAATTGACATGCTTACCTATACTATATATGGGTATATATCCATTGCATAAATGCTGCTATTACTTTTAACGTTTGCAGCAGTAATAAGCATTCCTTGAAAGAGTGTATACCCCCATCTAGTCTGGAGAATTGAACCATACAATTCCGATATAATTTTGTTTTTATCTTTTGATATTAGAAATTATACCATCATTTATATTATATATAAATATGTATAGATATAATAAAATGCAAAAACCCTAGCAAACCACTATAGAATTGATAGAAGGTTAGATTTAATTTTTAGTCAAGAAACACTCTCATTACTATAATATGGGCAAGTATTAAGGACTTTCATTATTGGTAAACGTGTCTTCTGGATTTCGTTAATAAGTTCTTGTATTAAGTCAACTCGAACAACTTAGAACGTGTGCGAGTTAGGCTAAGGTCGTGTGCGAGTTAGGCTAAGTTGCGTTCTAAATAAGGGAAATTCTAAGTTGTGTCGATAATGTATTGATGTGTCGATACGTGTTGATAAATGGTAAAATGTGTGCAGTACAAAAAATCCCAAAAAATCTCCCATTTGGTTTAGCATCAACTTAGCCTAACTCGCACACGACCTAAGTTGCGTTCTAAATGAGGGAAATTCTAAGTTGTGCCGATAATGTAGTGTTGTGTCGATACGTGTTGATAAATGGCTAAATGTGTGCAGTGCAAAAAATCCCAAAAAATCTCCCATTTGGTTTAGCATCAACTTAGCCTAACTCGCACACGTCCTTAGTATCTTTGATGTTTTCTTTTGCATTTTTTTAATTTTTAGCGTACATATATATTTATATACATTATATTGTGCATAATTCTAAAACAAAATTACTAAATATATTTAAATTTTTGTTTGCTAATATAGGGTATACTTATATATAAGGTAATATAAGGTATATAAGGTAAAAATATTTCTAAAAAAAAATTAAATTGGAACTGTATTTATTTGTTTACTTTTCTACCATTTTTTTGCAATATAATATCTTATCGATAAAAAAGTGTACCGAACAAATGATAAGAAGTATATTTTAAAACAGTTGTAGAACTGTTTTTTATTACTGAATGTGTTTCACATATTTGGACTTGGTTTTTTTATCGACATTTCTTGTTAAAATAAATATTTACTTGCTAATTAATATAATTTTGCAAATGCAAAAAATTTTTAAAATTTCTAAATTTTATACGTCTTATGTGTTTTTCCTTAGAATTATTTGTGGAAACAGATAAACCGCTTTTAGAGTCATGGAGTTGTCTAAAATAAATTTTTTATTACTTGCAGTCTTTATTATTATCAGTTCCAGCGAAAACTTGCTAGTTTTAAATGTTATCAATATAAAGAACGAAATTGAGAAGTAATATCCCACGCCCAATTGAACGACGAACTTTAGTATGTCATAGTTTACGTTAATTTCTCATATAAAATAAATGTTGGTCAAATTGTGATATTTTTCAATATGATATATAATATTTCACTCAAGTAACTAAATGGCAGAGCAGAAACAAAGAGACCTAAAGGAATATCTGCAACAAAAATTGTTCAAAATATTCAACTACAACTCGTCGCAATCCATTAATTACTCAACATCGTTACTCTAACAAAGACCACAGCCTAGAACTACCCTGAAATCACACCGAAGAAAACTGAAGCATCTCTTTCTAACAGTTTTATAATCTTTTGTGGTCCTTGATCTCATACTTATTTTTAAAAATTATTTTTGGAAGTAGTTATTTTTTATTTGGTTTATTATTCTCCAAAGGGAAACACATTACCTCCAATTTCACTAAAATTTTTATTTTATTTTTATTTAACAAACCAACCCCAAGTTACAACGAAGATAACAGAACTCAAATTGTTTTGGATCGAGAACACACTTCAATGACCCGCAAATAATATAGTAAAGCAAACACTCCAATTAAATCCACAAGGTAGTCGGCGAACAATTGAAATAGAATTAAAAGATCCCGTATTTACTTGGAATGATATCGCAACAACAGTTTCTAATAGAGTACCATTTAAATCGTTTATAGAAGCCCTATACTCCAGAAGAAGTTTAGAAAATTAGTAGTAGTAGTAGTAATATAAAAGGACTCATAATTCCGGAAGAAAATTTTAAGTGTTTTTAAAGGTTTCAATAGGGCCTTGAGAATTTTTGTTCAGACCAATTTTTAAACGGCCACATCTTACACTCTGCAAATGATAAAGATTTAAAATAACTGCGTTTTAAAGATAATTAATCAAACATTTAATAAATATTTTAACAACTGAAATTGTTTTTTTTAAATACTAAAAACAACTATTAATTTTATACGTCAAACATTTTTTTTATTTCAAATTTGGATCCTTAAATTCTACCTATAACTTGAAATTTTTATCTCTTTTGAAAGTTTGTCTAGTGTAATATATGTAGTTTTCGTTAACTTTGTAGTTTGTTATTGTGAATCTTCTCTCTTCTACAATCTTTTGTTGTAAGAAACAAATGTGGAGCGGACAGTACTAATACTGGTCATCTCAAGTCTTCAGATTATGAGATAGCACGATTCAGAAATTATTGGGTGGGTCGCAAAACTATTTTGATGGAGCATTCCTTGCCTACTTAACTTAGTGAAACAAGAAATTAAACAGTTTATGTTCTGTAGCGATCTTGGTATAGAGATTAGATCAGATCATATCATTACACTCTGATCGTAATGCAGACACCAGCAATGTTTTCGAAGAAATATGACTAATAAATTCAGTGCAAGGGTCACAATAAATCCAATTATTGTTGATGAACATTTCTGAAAGCACAGATACTTGAAGTGATAATAGATATAAACGCATCTTATCTTGGTTTTAAGGTTAAAGTCCTGTTGTCCCGAAACAACAAGAAATCGTTCGTTTTCGTTCGATTCTGTTTCCCCTTTGAATATTAATCATTTTATTTTTTTTAATTGTTTAATGAAAATAAATATTTTAATAGGGTTTTATTTATTTTACAGATTACATTACATAATTAGAATAACTACGAAAATATGAGTTTAAACGGCGATGTGACAGTTATGCGAAATGGGCGTACAACCAGTCAAATATCTATTTATAATTATCCAGAACATCTCAATCCGTTTTATGAAGATGACCAACACAGACGTTTGAGATTTTGGTCTTCAAGCAAGAAAGGCGATGGCGAAAGAAGAAATAGTTTCTCTGTGAGCGGTTTGAAGGATCTATGGTATGTAATAAGTTTTCATTATACTAAAACTGTGTTCCTGCATAAGATACTTTCCCCTAATTTCCCCTAATCATTATATTTGCAAATTTAGAGATATTTTATACCTTAATATATGTGGTGTATCTGGACCACAAACAAACAGTTATGCTGGCAATATTTTAAGGAACCCTAAAAAAAACCAGAAACTTCTACAACATTAGGTATATTTGCAACAGTATTATTTAATCTATTTTACAATAATTTCTTACAAATTCTCTAAAGCAACTGATAACGATCTTAATCTCTATTAATATTTCGGTTTAAGATCTTATCTTTAACCTCTATTAACTTCACGCTGCCTTCATTTTATATCTAATGAAAATGTGATCCACATTATTTCTACAAAAACTCGTAATTGAGATACAAATTTTCGTATTTCATTTATGTTGATTTATTTAAAGAATAATAATATATATATTTTATGCAAATAACAAAAAAGTTAACAATAGGAATTAAATTGTATTTATAAAGGTCAGTGCTATTTACAATAAAGTGCTAATTAAATTTGTAAACTTTATATCAGTAGTTTTCGTTCTCATCGCGTATTTAATAATAATATATCTATTAGAGTTATATCAAAAGTAAATAATTTATTTGCAAATCAAGAAATATGACTTAATCCATAGATAAGAGTGTATATTATTGCTAATACATTTTATATAGCTCACCAAATTCAAATCAGTGAGTCATAAAAAAATAAGATAGCATTTGTTAATATTATATATTCAACACAGCTATATTCAACACAATAAAAAAATTTTATTTGTCTTAGGTCATTCAAGTCATTTAGAAAGAAGAGATCATCAACCTTGGGAATTAATAAAACCTCAGAGAGTCCACCACCGCTAAGACGTACACTACAGTACTCGGATGGGCCAGCATACAATCCTCGAAGCCGATATTCAGCCAATAATAATACAAATGGTGCAATAGATAATAATAATTTCTTACGTAATGCAACCTATAGAAGTTCCTTACAAAATGTACATACAACATCAAAGGTAATGCACATCCAACCACCATTATATTGCCCCTACATTCATTTTTAAAAAATATCACATATAGATGAGTATACTTCATTTATCATCGTATACACAAAACAATTGATTGCCAAAGAAAGGTATTGCTTTTTATACCACATTGTCAGTTCCACACTTACTAAAATATGTAGAAGAATGTAGGCTTGTTCTCTATATTGAAAATTTATTTAAAACAAAATTTTCAAAGCAAAACAAAATTTTTGCACAAAAAAGTTACTTTTAGATTTCCTAGACTTGAAGATCCTTCACACATATAATTATTTCATTTTATTTTTTTTTGAAGGCCCTAAACTATAAGAATCGCCTGGCTTAAAACAGTTCTACATTTCAGACGCTTCAACGCCTTGCGCATATATATATATATATATATATATATATATATATATATAATAATAATAAATATATTATTATATATATTAAACATTGAATGCGATTCGTACTCTCTTAACCTAAAATCACTCTGCCACCAGATATGGTATTTTCCTTGGTCTTTTTCGTTGGTCTTCCTTCGAGTGTCGCTCGAAGGAAACACTTTTGTGTCAGACTATCGTCTTTAATCGTCACTAATCTAGCAAATTCTCATAGAAATGTTAATTCTCCCAACAATATCAATGTATATGTTTGTATATTACAAGCTCATTTCCGGTAATTATTCAATACAGCTTCGTTAATTGTCTCTAGTACTTGTCTTTTTCTATACCTTTTTTATTTTCTAGCTGCTTTTCAAGAGAAATTCCTAACCCCCGATTAAGCTACAGCCACTAAAGATAGTAGTTAGAAATATCAAATAATAACTGCACGATTGAGGAACAGTTATTACTACTGCATTAAATATACTTGAGGTTCCAACTACTATAGCTAGCGAATGTTTTTTTTTAACGGCAAAACTGCGGTACCATTCATTTTTTCCGCAAGTATGCACCAGGCCTTAAACTAGACACCGTGTGTTTAACGTATAAGACAACTAAAAAATCTGATATTCTGAAGTTTATTGCCTTGTGTAGTTGTTGTGACGAAATATCGTCCTTAATTGAACGTATTAAGTATTGGGTAGACAATTTATATCAACTAACTTATCCGGCTAAAAATAAATTTTTTATAAGCTATTTGATAAAGCTAAACTCTGTTATTTTTTTACTTACCAATATGCAAATTTTTGTAAAATTCAAGAAAAACAATTTAGACTACATTGAAATTTTAACTAATATATCTATTTACTGCAATATATAATGATCTAATAAATAGCATATACTATTTTATACTATTAATATTTATTATTTTAGAATAACACTAACAATGGATTTGGTCTTCAGCGCAACGACCAATATCGCAGCACGATGCAATATCCAAGCAGCAGTGGCCGCAATCAACTATCGGCTACTATGCCTAGTACACCACAGAGAAGGTATGTCTATGGTGGTTCTGTAACACCACAACCTATACGTAATACTGATATCGGTCAAGGCGTGACAGTAACACGAGGGTGAGTGTTAACACTTTTCGGTCTAAATTTCCATACCTCATTTGTTGGTGGTTTTTTTCCGAACAATTTCTTCTTGGTGGTGATATAACTAATATGTGTCAATTTCATCCCATGTGGTGTTATAGCGTACAGTGTATATGTGTTTTATATATAATATTAAATGTTGTTTATATAATTTAAAAATGTTAGCATGCCTTAACCTCGACAGAAATATTTGTTTATTTAAGACATGCTAAATCTATGTTCATTAAAATCAAATTTGCTAATTAATTTAATATTTAATATTTTCGTATTCTTCTTAGTTCATCACAAATAAGCGTGAACACCAATCCGTTTGAGACGGACGATGAAGAAATTAATGAGAACGTTTCAATTGATGAGAGAAAGTTGGTAACGTCAACACCAGTCAAACAAACGCCACGCAAGAAACGACGTGCTCCCCCGCCACCCGTACTAGTAAGTATATTTATTTTTTTTTTTTTTTGTTTTTATTTACGGATGACCTTCCGATTTTGTCCCATATAATTACTGTCTGCATTAACTTTTATACGTCTTATCCAACTAACATAGTCATATGTTTGAAGATACAAGCATTTCAAAGTAAAGAAATGATTACGCCATGCTACTGGCATTACTGATAAAGCTTTCTTGATAAGATAAATTTAATTAAAAATAATTACATTTTGAAGTAGGCAAAGTCACCAGCTTAACAACGACTATCTATTTAAAGTCAGCTGAAAAGAAGAAAAGAGTCGTGTAGACTACGACTCGTAATTAATAAGACCCAGTAAATATAAATGCATTAGATCAGATATAATCATTTTATGAAGACTTAAATTATTAGCTCCAATTATCTAGTGGATAATAGCTGGTCCCATATGCCTACATCTGTCATCTGAAATAGCTTTAAATTTTGGTGGCATGAGAATACGTGCGCAAAAATATAGAGAATAAATACAGGATAGATACAGTTAGATTAGGATCGAGTGGCAGCCTCACACACAAAAATCCACTTGAGCTTTAATAATAGCTCATTGTTATAAATACAGGTATTATCCTACTAATAAACTTTCTCTTACAAGGAAATTTTATTTAAAATAAAAGACATATTCGCTTCATATAAACCACTTTTTTCAACTTTGTTCATGGACTTCTTCGATTTAAAAATTAAGAGAGAAAACCACAAAACTTATAATTATTTGAACAGATACTCATGTTTCACCTTCCAGAAAACAAACAACTAAAAACCGTACATTTGCGTAAAGCCATAGAGATTCCAAGACATTGATTAATTGCTTCCTCACACCACAATTTTTCAGTACTGAAAAAAAAAGAAAGTCAATAATACAATGTACAAATCTCTATTGACGTTTAAACACAAATATATTTAAAGATTGCAAATATACTGCTAAATACAAATGATATCTCTAGAAATAGTATTGATACTCAACCATACTACCATGGTACAATAAATAACGATATAAATAGAAAATTTTCTTAATTACCGACTATTCAAGACTATTCAATACTCGTACTATATACATTTGAGTTGAGTTGAGCACTGCCTGTAAATACCACTGATGTGCAAGAGTTTACTTCGTAATTGTTATCAACTCAATTTCATAGTGTGCATCATGTGCAATATTTGTTCTTCTCACTACAAATTTCACTACAAATTATTGTTATTATTGATATATAATCTGTTGTTATTGCTGTAGGGTATATCAATACTATAGTATTTTTAGTGCTGATATTGTGTTTAAAAATTACCCATACCAAACATTCTGATTTGAAGATTTGCAGTTAGTAACCATGGAGGCCATAGTGTGCTCATTAAGAAATGTGAAGAGTTGGCAGGCGCTGTCGATGTAGTGTCTTGAAAAGTCCATCTTCCAAAACTTTTAGCTGACATGGACAGTTTTACTCAAGTTCTTGTGATCACTAGAATGTAGCACTCAATTATTTAGTTAGTGTACAAATTCTCCAATTGCCTGTTATGGTGCAAACGTATATAGCTCCTGCGCTATATTAACAGCTCCTAAGTGTTTTTTAACATTTATGATAACGTGGCCTTTCTGGACTTCACTTTAAGCTTTTATTGCCTTTAATATGTACAACCAAGCTGTTCAGCTGTTTGTCTTTCACCTATTGCTTTAAGCTTCGGTTGTCTTCCACCTGAACAAAGATATCGTTTAATTCTTGCCGCCTTATAACGAAACATGATTCCAATCATCATTATATTGAATATTTAGGGGTTCTGATAATAAGTTCAGTATGGGTTTTAACTCAAACAGGAAATGTAATATAAATGTAATGTTGCCACATATTCGAAATTTATAGCAGTTTGATGATGATTAAAATTCAATTGGGTCACTTCGTAGACAAATTCGAAGTATGACTTCGTTGATTAAAATATGTACTGAAGGTGTCCCATATGTTTTTGTAGAAGGGATTAACGATAATCATTTCTTTTGGAATAATATCTACTCATTTATATATTGAGTTTAATATCAAAGATTGATGAATAATGAACGATTAATCAAGTTATAGACTGTAAAGTTATGTTATGATTCTATTTCACATTCCTTATTATTCGTAAATAGAAAGTTTTCAAACCCTATTATACGCATTCCTTTAAAATATAATAATTAAGTAAGTTTCAAGAATCTGTTAAGTGATATTTATTTATGCACATAAAAAGAACATATTTGAATATATATCATTACATTTCTATATTGGATTTATATAAAAAAATTTCAAATTTTAGTGAAATGGAAATGAATTCTATTGTTTTCATTATATTGATAAAAATATTTCCAACTGCAAACTAATATTTTATATGTATACTTCGTATTTCAGGTTCATAACCTCACTTCTAGTGATCATAATAACTTTTCAACGAATTCTAGTCAGCAAAAGAATGAATTGCATATTGAAGAAGATATTAATATTGCTAATCTTGCGGCCGAAATAGAAAGTTTCGTTCAAACCTCAAACAATACTACAGAAGAGAAGAAATTGGAGAATTCCACAAACCACGTTGTAGCAACGTACAAAACTGCGAATGATAAAGTGACAAATGGCACTACACCCAAGGATGTAAAAACTGAAAGTAATAATGTAATAATAACAACAACAACAGCAGCTATTGCAACAGAAGCAACAACAACACCAACAGTTGCAGCAACAACAACAACAGCAACAGAAAAAGCAGATGCAACTACTGCAATAGCAACAGCGCCTACAGCCACAACAACAGCAACAGCAGCAAAAACAACTTCAACTACTACTACAACAACAAAAACAATTGAAACTAGCAATAGATCCAATGGAAACTCACCTATTGTGAAGCAGAAGACTTCAGCACAAGTGGTCAGCCCCGTAGTCACAAAGAAAGAAACTATTAGAAAGGTTACAGAAATTAATATATCCGAAAAAGAACCGTATATTCAAGAGCCTACTGTTGGACAAAATACATCAAAAAAAGAAAAAGAAGTAGGACATGTGGAATGTATACACATACATGTTGATAGTCCTAGAGCGACGCCTGAAAGAACAGAAACGAATAAATTTAGTAGTTTCCGGTCGGAATCTAAACCTGAAGTCGAAAAAATAACAGCAAAAACTTCATTTACACTAACAACACCCCCAGTTACTAGAAGGCATTCTGAAACTAAGACTAGTGACAATACTGAAAGAAGAACCCCCACTGCAGCAAGACGAAATATTATTCCAATAGCAACGACTCAAACGACAATTATCGAAAAGCCGATTGAGCTTGTTATTACAGAGAAATCTAAAAATGATAATAATCCAGGTAATAATTCACATAATCCAAATAACCTTCCCACTCTTGAACCCATATTATTGGAGACTACTACTACTACTACTACTGTGTCTGCACAAACTACAAAGAGCCAAGTAAAACCTCCAATCGCTACTAAACCAAATTTAGAAGTAAAGCAAAAGAATAATACATTTGCAATGATACATAAGCCAAATCGAACTACTTTACCAAATGGTCATGTCAGTCCAACAAAAACATCTGTAACTGAAACCGTACTATCTGTTAATATGGAAACGAAACCGGATATAAATGAAATCAAAGCCCCAGAAATTCATGTGCAAAAAATAGAAACAGAACAATGTGTAGAGAGAAATCAACAGATTCAACCTGAAAATACTTCATCTGCGATAGAACCTCTAAAAATAATCGAATCAAAGGAAAATATTTTGGAAAATAATGAAACTGTTAACGTTGCTGTTACTAACAAAGTCAGTACATTTGGAACTAGACCTCCAACTCCGCCTACTCGTCATGTGCCATTACGTGCTGGACTTACAAATGATGAGTTTGAGGCAATAGTTCGGGCAAAGCCAACATCGCACATGGAATGGAAGCAATCATCATTAGCGCCATTAGAGACCAATGTGCCTCCTGAAAAACGTAAATCAGTAAAAGATATTATAGAGTCCATCAACAGAAGTCAACGTCTACTACATGCAGCTGCAAACAAAGATCAAATGCCTATCTTAAGTCCAGACAATGGTTTAAATTCAAATCTAGAAACCTTATATAAAGATTATAAACACATTAATCCTTCAGACCAAGGTAAGAGTTGCATGTTATGTCAATAAACAAAATATGTTTAATATTCGAAATTTAGTTTACAGACAATATGAACTGGAGACTGGGACCAACACAACAAACAATTTCAATTACAACAACACCAGTAACTGTGAAGGTGCCACTGGCAGTAGCAGTAATAGCACTGCTCCTATAACACAAAACGATCCCTTAAAACCAAGCAATGCAGACATATTCACAAAATGTCGCGTAACCAAAGAAGTATACGAATACAGAGAGTCATCTCCAACAGCATCAAATCTTGATTGGAATCCAGTACCAAAACCAAAACGCACAAAAAATTTATCAGAACTTCAAAGTAATGAAGAATAAATTTCAGTTTTCTATATTTTTACAGATTAGAAATGTAGGACAATCTACCAAATTGATTTTTATGTAATAAAGTGTACAGGATATTTTATTTAAAGGGATTGTTTGATTTTATTTGCTGGTAAAAATAAAAAGTTCCATATGTATTATAGAATAGGCTGGTAACTATTAAGATAATTGTGAATATAACGTAATACAGTAATTCCCACTATAACGCGTTTTCATATTACGCGATTTCAATCCACCGTATAACACCGGCATTCCCCCATGTAACGCGAGGATTTGTAAGTTCATAATTAGTTCGCGTATCTTTGCATGTGTGTATACGGTGTATACGGGAATACCCCTATAACGCGGAACTAATCCATCGCACTATTGGGGGAAATTACTGTACTTTATAACTTAATATTATATTACTATATATAATATTATACTTTATGCGAGTATATAGCGTTTTTGATTGGTACATCTAGATTCAATCTAGATTTACTCTTGATCTATCAAGTTTTATTGCCCAATCGAGCATTTTTAGAGTAATCCGACTTTATAGCTATCTAACATCATAAATATTTATATAGAACTAAATCACATAAAGCAGCTGTTAAATTCAGGATAATCTTGCCACTTTGTCAAAGTATTTACCTAAAGTGTTATTCATTAGTCTCGAGTATTATATATATCTCTCGAGATTTATCGTAGTTGCTTTTCATCATCAACATTAGTGGCGCAACGATCCTAGTTGAATCTTGACCTCCTTTTGAAAACTCCTCCACGTATCTCTGTCGTTTGCTACCATTCTCCAATTTCTTTCTCCAAATTGTTGCGCTGTTTGACCCACATTGTCTATTTAGCGTAAACTCGGACTTGCTTTTTTCCTTCTTGCTTCTGGTGCATATTGAAATAATTTTTTGTTGGGTTATCTATGCTCATTCTTTAAGTATGTATAGCCCGTTATAATAGCTTTAGTTTTACGCTTTTGCTTATTGCTGGTTCCCTAGCTCTTTTTAACATTCGTCATTAAATCTCAGCCAATAGGTGCCATCTTATTCTTTAATTCGACGAAGTATGCTATATATATATAATATATCTTTTTATTTTCTTCTTATTACACCTATTCTCTAATATTGTATGTACAGTAAAATACGAACAGTTTATGTCGTTCTTTATGTGCATATCTTACAGCACAGCCTAGTGATATCGGCACAATTCTATGACGGTCTTCAATCCACTACATTCGTGGTCTACATTAGCCTACATTAGTGATGGATACAATATAATATAATAATGCAATTAACAAAAACTTCAAGTGGAGTCAATCGTGATCGTATGTAATCTTCTGTGACATAAACATGCTCTTTTGAAGCACTATTATTAAACTGCTTCGGGTATTATGTATATATATGATTTAGTTAGTTTTAATTTACTGATTAATATTAAGTATTCAACGTTAATATATTATATAAATATGTAGATATAGTTAAATGGTCACTTTCTAGTTCATATGGTGGTTCATTTGTATCGATTAAGGCTGCTATAAACTTTTATTCAAATTAAAATCAAGTTTTTTATATTTGTACTAAGAAATCTGCGTAATAATTATATTTGTACATAGACAATTTTTTTGTTTTCTAGAAGACATGCATTTGTTTCCATCATTTCTGCCATCTGTCAAACCTTTTACTCTCTTCCAGTTTTAAAACTGCTTCGAAGTTATTTACGAAAATTGACTATAGGTTCAGACAAAATAATTACTTTAAATGGCACAACTGACGTTATATGTATAATAGTTGATATTTTCTAATGAGAATTCGTTTATTTTTATGGTACATCCAAAATATGGTATCGACTTAATAATAATTGGACTTAAAACAATACGAACATTTTCTTACCAATATGCAATTCTTGTTAATAGCTATTAATCTATTAACATCGAGAGAAAACAATTGAGAGATGATATACTCCATCAGCGAGAGCTCTATTTTAAACTTTAAACGACATCAAAAGTGAACAAGGAAGTTGTACATCTGATTGGACTCTATTATCAGTTGAATATAATACGGCTTGGTGTAAACATTCTAATGATGTGATTGACAAGTGTACAGCTCTAAAGACCAGTATTGGAAAATTTTGAAGAATTTCTCATTTATATAATACTGCAGTATTTTAAATAAAAGAAAATGGAGTAAGTAACACTGCAAGTTTGCCTCAGTGTATAACATCAAACCTACCTTAACGTTACCGATTCGATAATATGCTAACACAGTTGTTTCCTAATTAATTTCTTGCAAATAGTCTTTAAACGCATTAACTCTACTCATCACGCTAAACCCAGTATCTCGTTTCACTATAGTTATGAATAAAAAGGTCAATTTTGGAACTAGCTCACAGAAGTCAGACCTTTTTTCGATACGCCTAATATAGTGAGCGGTCTACTAAATGAATGCTTGTAATGAATGCTTGCTCTCTTATCTGTGCAATACCACAAATGGCTATTATTTGAGCTCAATAATTATTTGAGTGGCAACTTTGGGCACAGAACTATATAGTTCCACGTGGAGCAATGGAAATTCTTACATTTCCAGTAATTTCTGTGATATAAGCACGATTCCAATGTTGCCAATACGGTAACGATGTATTCACACTATGAAAAACGGGATCTACGGACGCAACATGGAGGGACGACTCTAGTGTCATGGTGCGATTTGAAGTTTCATATGTATTGCACGGAAAGAGATATTATTTAATGCTAAGATATGTACGTTAATGTAAGAAAAAACAAAAAATAAATAAAATATAAAATAAGGGTTGAGTAACGTAATATACAATTTTACCGGCTTTTAACCTATATTAATAAAATAATAATAATAAAGCAATTATAAAAAACCACTACCAAATCTTAAACAACAACAAGAATTAAAGTAATTATAAAAACAATAACAAAACTTACTACTACAAAGTAGTAAACAAAATTGCCGTATACTTTCACTAACAAAACAATAGCTCACATTACACATCTCCGGTATAAAAGACGTGACAAAATTGCAATCGGACCTGTCAGCAAAGCAACGACCTGGTATGCAGATCGTTCCAATACGTGCTGAGTGTGGCAAAAATAGACATTTACATTTATTTTTTTGAAATTCTTTACAAAGTGATAGTAATTTCCATTTGCTATCACAAATACATCGTTCCAGGCTAACGAAATACACATTTCGTTACAAACCCTCTACTAGCGCGGTTAAATTTTTACATCCAAGAAACATTTCTTTGACGAATTTATCGTTCATCGTTCACGACACTGTTCCTAACAAATGAATTTTATTGTGAGTCTGGACTTGAGATCCAGCGAGCTAAACCTCAACTTAATACCTTATTTTCTCTGATTTTATGTCATCATTAATAATTACATTTATATAAATGTAAAAATAAGAACAGTGCAAATCCTATACATTATTGTTAATGCTCTTTGATTATTTTTCAAATTCTTCAGGTCTCTCCATGTTCTAGTAGCCAGTAATTTCATTCATCTATGTTACTTATAATTGCACGTCGATGAATTACCTTTCATAGGACGAATTTCGATCATCGATGAATGTGAGTTGATCATCGATATTCCTGCTAAATCTACTTACCGAATGTACTCGTTTTTTTAGACAGCCAAAGGGAACCCACCCTTTGGTAGGTGGACAACACCGTCTGTATTGCTATCTGAAACCTCATTGCTGCTAATATGTTATTTTTAAATGCATCATTAAAAACTTATTGATCTTCGATTTCTTCGATGCAGTTGTAGTTATATGATTAAACGTGATCCTACAATATTAATATAGTAATACTATAAAAATTCATCCAATGAAATCTTTTAGTTCACTTTAAGATTTGGATCCATCATCATCCATCTGTACATCTAATACAAAGATATATGAAGTTATATTTACATCACTTAAAGCTTTATGATTCGTAGCAGCTACGAATTTAAAATCATTCAATGCCTGACAAAACTAAATAGTCCTTTCTGAACATAATATAATCTATATAATAATATAATCTATATATTAATATAATCTGTATAATAATATAATCTAGCATAATTTCTAAGAGTTCTAATTTGTAAGCGTTCTTTATAATAGAATCAGTCACACTATTTGATTGTTTTGAGTTCTCTTTTTATCTCTCGATTAATTATTTAAAGGGGTTCTATGAACTTTTTTAAAAAAGAACTGTTTTCTGTATCTTATTTATATATATAGCTTACGTAATTATATGATTTTAAATAATTTCATATTTTTGAAATTCACACAACTTTATATAATTATTATATAGTTATAACATATAGTCATTTCAGATAATTATTACATGAAGTTATTATATATAGTTCTTATATATAGTTATTATATGTAATTATTATATATAGTTGTTATTTATGGTTATATATAATTATTATGAAAAGTTTTTATATAGTTGTTATATATAGTTTTTACATGTAGTTATTATGTATAGTTATTTCATGTATAATTGTCTTCAATGCTTTAAAGTTTATTTGAATTTTTTCTTAAAGTGAAAATTTATAAAAACTGTTAAATCCACAAAAAATTCCTACTTTACCAATGACTACTTTTCTTCTAAAAAAAAATTAATTTAATATTTTACAAATTATTTTATTTTAAGAAGAATATTTGAGAGTTTATTTAATTTTCATAAATTATAATTTATTCATACAAATATATGCAATTTACGTTTATAAAAAAAATATTAAAAATTTGGGTTTATTCTTTCCATATTATTATATTTCTTTTTAAAAAACCGAAAACAAAAATTATAATTTGAAACATAAACAGAATCTATCAATGATTGAATATACGTCATTTCTCTTAAAAGTAAATATAAACAGGATAAAATGTCTATAAAGATATCTATCAGTTTCCTTACAAATAGAGCTTCTTAAAAGTATTTCCATTTAATGATCTTAGAAAATATACATTTACAATTATATTTGAACACATGCATCACTTGGTAGGTATATATTTATGTAAATATATTTCAAATAATCAGAAAATATAATACTAAAAATAAAATAATTTAAAACCAATCGTATAAAATTAAAATTTAATTTTATTATATTTTTTGTAATAAATTATCTTTTTAAATATTCAGGACTGCACTGTTAAATATAGAAAGTATCATTATTAATTATAATTAGAAACAATTCTGCAATTAGAAATGTATTTCAAAGATTTTAAAACAGTGCTGTCTGTCCGTCCTAATTTAACGTTTTTATATAATCATACACACATATGTATATAAGTGTTTATAATTGATTTTACAATGAATATTTAAAAATACATATTTATCTTTTTAATTTAATTATGCAATTTATCTTAATTGTATATTTGGAAAAATATTTTGAACACTTCAAATTAATAAATTCAAATATTTTGTGTATAATTTAATTAAATATAACAAACCAAATTAAGTAACAAAGCTAAAACAAGAATATTGGAATTTAGTTTATAATTTAAATTATATTATATAAAAAAATAAAAATTAACAAATATAAAATTAACAACAAATGTTTTAATGTTATTGAGATATTTGAGGTATTTTTTTGCTTTTAGTTTTTGTATATTATGCAATTTTTTCTACTTTAAGAACTCCAGCTTCTTCAAATAACTGTTGAAAACCATCAGGTACAGTGCCTTCACTGAGCTCCATGCTCCATTGTTTGTACTAAATAAGAAAAAAATAAAGAATTTATTGTTATTTATTTAAATATTATTTTACAGCATAAAAACTCATTTATATTGACCTACACGCTCCAATTCAGCACGTAATGCGATAACTGCCTTTTCACGATCAGCTACCAATTCTTCCAGATATTGATAACGTAGTTTCTTACGTGCACGACATTCCCGTGCGCTTTGGCGACTGCGTTCTGAAAAATAAAATATAAAATTATTAATTTAAAATTGTTTTTTTTTTATTTTCTATTTATTAAAAGAAATTGAAGAACACAATTTTTGAATCTTCAGATAAACGGTGAGAAAATGTATTAAACCCAAACGCGCTGCTCGCTCTTGTATGTAATATTTCATTGATTATATAATACTGTCCAATATGATCCTATATGCTATTCACACGATAAGCTTACTCTTAGAAATCCTTAGTCTCAAGTTAAGAAAACATTAGATGGCTTTTTATACTTTGCAGCATATAATAAGAAGGGTGTGATATGCTCTTCACACTACAAACTTAAAAACTCTTACGAAAAGAATCTAATACCTTGTTTTCACTATGTCATTTTAAACGACAATTATAATTGACTGGTGTGTCAAATGCGTTTTCATTACATGACAAGTATGCGAATATGACATCATATGACTACCCGTTTTCATTATTTTGGCAATTCCATCGAATTTCATATTTGCTCTTACAGTAACGCAGTCTTAAATCCGGGACTTTAATCCAAAAATTTCCGCAATTATTCACTAATAACACAAGTGACCACAAAGAAGAACAATAAATTCTAGAATGAAGATCAAATTCAATCCATAACAGTAGATTAAAGCTGGCGATAGTGCACCAAAGATGTCTTCATCAATATAAAATACCCTGACAATCACTTTTCTTTTCTTCTAAATAAGTTCTTTTTATAACGTGTTGTGTCTATCTGTTGGTAGTGTTAACGCTCTCAGAAACCTATTTATGGCACGTTGGCCAGCCCCGTATGCTCGCCGGTTTTAAGGGGGGGAGTTCTTGGTAACTGAGAAGACGCTACAGACCTCAACAAAAAAAATTCCTGCCATGTTTTTACAAAAAAAAACTACCGTATCTGTCCATCACCTTTTCAGTAAAATAGGTAATCAACATTATCCCTTATTTGCAGATTTAATTTATATCTACATATATAAATAAATGTGTCATATTATCTCTTACCTAGTTTGGCTCGTATATCAACTTTTTCAGTTGAAGCTTTTCGTCCAGGTTTGCGACCACGTTTACCACCTTCCTTACGTTCCTAAAATAATTAGATTAAACATTATTTTTTTAAATCAAATAATATATTTACTACGATACATAAAAGAATAAAGTCGCAAAATAAATTTATGTAAATAACAATTATATTTGCTATAATAAGTAAAGAAAGATCTTTCTTTACAATTGATTAATTAAGGAAGAATAGATGCCAAAGATACAGAACGTCAAAGAAAAATCAATCCGAAGAGAAAAGATTTAGTTAAATACTAGTCATATATACCAAACTACGTATACGTATTAAAAGCAGATATTATTTTCAAAACTATATTTATATGAACTATATTTTAAAAACTTCACCTATGTTAGATGAAAAACCTTCCAGAGTGAGGGACAACAAACATGAATAGTAAGATATTTGTGACTATTTAATAAAAGCAGGCTATAGGAAAAATAGAAAGACGGAGCAGACTGTGTCAATTAAAACCTAACATCTACAATGGAGAAAGGATACATGATGTATATAAAGCATAAATGGAAATCAAAGTCAGAAGTAATAAAATCCACCTAAATGATAATAAGTTCGAGACGGTTTAAGATTTTTGGTGCAGATCTTTAAAAAGTTTTGTTGTAATACAACCGCGGTCAGAGAAAGATACTGCATCTGCATGGCTTTTATTTATAATCATTAGGGAAAAAGCTTCGATATATACAACATGGATAGAGGGCTATACTCATGATGTCGACATTTAGATGTTCATCTGTTTGAGACGAGAAAAGAAATTATTTTCATAATAGCTGGATCATGCTTCTTTATGAAAGTCTTTATATTTTTCTTAAATGTCTACTTATTTTTATAAGACAACGACAACGAATAATTAAATTAGATCATTGAAGTAATAAGCAAAAAAATGTACTTGTCAATAAAAATGTTATTATAAAAGGTAAAAATAATAAATGTTTAATTATAAGCAAATTAAAAAACAGTAACATAAACTAAACAGTGCTGTAAATACACGGATCTACTTTTCAAGTCACTTGTCTTTATAAACGAAAGTTCTGTGGTTACAACAAGCAGGAGTTGGAATAAGCAGATGAACTGAATCTAAAAATATATTATATCTAATATAATTTTCATAAACAGTTTTACTCTTAATCTTAAGTAGGTAAGAAAATACTTTGATCTGTCAGAATAATAACCCAATTACAGGTTTATTCTTGATCTTAATCGGACCTTTAAGTAGGCGAAGTAAACTCTGCCTGACGAAAAAAATAAGTCGATTGTAAAATTTTTGTAAAAATCTCTTGAAAATTGGTAGACATTCGAAATTCTATACCATTTTGTAAACTGTTACACCCCGCTCTTTATATTTCTGATATAATTCATATGCTTCCAACGACAACCACTGCAATAGCATTGTAATCAGTGAAGTTGAGTATCAACAAAACATAGCTGCTTCCTATACCGAGGTTATGTCCTTTAAATAACGTTCGTCAAAAGATTCTGGACAGTCTTCTGCCAAAAAAAGTATTCGTAATAGAATTATTTGTAATAGTAATAGTAGTAAGAGTAGTAATAGTATGTTGATCCTTTTTTTCGAGTCAGCGCAACTGGGCACTTTTACTCTTTGATAGCTGGGGGTGCTACAGGGTCCCACCCATCTCATTGACTAATTTGTATATCTCTTATAAGCTTCATAATTATTCAGTGATTGATCTAAGATCTGCGTACCTCCCGGTGCGGAGACTGATTACTCTAAGATTAGATAGTGATAAGTAGGATAGCCTGTCAATTTTCGCATATAACTTCAGGGCTCTGTGCCTTATGTATTTTTTGATCGGGTCAATTCTAAGGTCTCTTAGCATGTCGTTTGTGCGGATGTACCAAGAGTCTTCGGAGAGCCTGACTTTGAGCGACTTGTAGCTTTTGTATAGTAGAATCGGCAGCTTTGCTATACGCGACACACCCATAAAGTAATGCTGGTCTAATTATCTGGCTATAGATCAGTTTTCTGTTCTTCACGCTAAGGTTGTTGTGTTTGAAAAGTGGTTGTAAGCATTGTAGTAGTAGTAAGAGTAATAGTAGTAAGAGTAATAGTAGTAAAAGTAATAGTATTATAATAGTCTTTGAGTATGGAAAACGCCATGTAGCCTAAACTAATTACGCCCATATCGTGTTGTTGTTGTTGTGATTTGAGTTAGTGCTATTGCGCACTTTTACTCTTTTGTGGCTGGGGGACTTATCCTTACCCCACACTAAACTTTAGCTATACTCATTATCATTTATTTATCTTCTAACTGATGACAGACCGTAGATCAGCATATCTTCCTGTGCGTTCTGAGATGGACTTAAGTTTTGTTCGTGTACTTGTGTATTAAGACAATTATGGTTTTTGCTTTATAGATATTTTTTGGGGGTATAATATTAACCTCACCCATTCTGATAGCAAAGAAAAAAACAACCAATTTTCAACTTTTATTAGCTGAATTAGACATTTGAGAGGGCTCACATAATTCAAAACCAGTTAGAACTCTACATAATTTGGGAATGATATTAAAATATTATGATAGACCAGAGAAGGAGTATTTTTGGGAGGTTATTTTCTCACTTCCGAACTATAGGATTTCTATTGGATTAACTTCTACAATGTAATTATTTAAACTATTTTTGTAAGTTATAAGAGAATTTTGTTTCATTGGTTTGGTTCGAAATAAGTATAAGGACACATCATGTACATATTTCTGTATGTAAATATTTTAATTATATTACGCAGTAAAAATATCTTAACGTCTTACAATGTTATATTATTGCATTACTAGAGAATTTCATCCCTTACATTTAAATTTTATGTATAAAATATAACAGGGAACCAAAATCTTCAGTAACTGATTTCTTAAGGAAAAAATAGATTTCAAAACAAACCCTTAAAGGATAATTGAAATTTTGCTTATAAACCAAAAAAAGGGATGAAGTTCGCCAGCCACAAACGTAAGAAATGTAAATAATTATAAAAGTTTGGAGTTATATATATATTTACATATATATACGCTAGTATTACTTAAACACAAATAAGAATTCATAAAAAAAAATTTTGAAAATATATATAATAATTAATATTAAATACACCAAACAGAAAACACATTTAAAACAAAAACAAATATGACGTTTACGATAAAAACAAAGAAAAACAAAAAACATTGAGAATTTTAACCAGTCCATTTCACAAAATACTGCGCAGTTAATTTAGATACTATTTTTGATGAACTTACTGAAAGATTTGGCTCCTCAGCAATTACCATTTGCATGTCTTCACAGTCCATTTTATTTATATTCAATACCAATATTAATCGCAAATATTTACAATTTTACTAAACAAACAAATATAAAAACACACAAGACAAAGCTCACTTTCGCACTATAACTCGTTGTTGTTGCTTGCGGAGAATGTCTACTTTTTGACTTTTCTTTTCAAAACACTGTTGCCAACACGTAAATTAGTTGTCATTGAGTGTTGCTAAATCCCTCATTCACAATAGTTTACTAGTGTATCATTCGACAAAACAAACTTCAAAAGTATTTTTAATAATTTTATATAAAATCATATTATATATACATACATATATCATTTATGTATATTAAGTAATATATATAAATTGTATGTTATATATATGTATTATTTTTATGTGTTAAATATATATTATATTGCCTGTTAAGTATACACTTAAGTATACACTTAAGTATACACTTAAGTATACACTTATATAATTGCATTGCAGACGAGCGCGCTTAATTATCATTAATTATAAATTATCATTAAGAAATTGCTGTATCATATGGTTTTTTTAATGGAAAAAGCAAGAGAATTTTGAATTCAAAATGAATAACCAAGAAAAACTAAAGAAACTCGATTTAATTTGGTTAAAAAGACGCTGTTCGTTGAATTTAAAACTAGTAACCGGTTAAAATGTGTTTCAATTTTTAATTCATATCACTTGCATATGTAGCACTAACATTTCTAAAAACCTAAATGGGAAATAAATTGGGTTAAATTTGGACATTTAAAGATCATAAATGATAATATGAATCTGCTAAATGGGCAAATAAATTATATTTTAGCCCATTAATATACGTTTGAGTTAATATCATATATATTTAATTTTTTTTTAATGCTTTATTTCATTTGTATAACTGTAATCTGTTTTTTTTCTACAATAAATTTCAACTAAATCTGTTCGTTTGTATAGTCTCTGAGGCTGACGTCACATTGCAGGCAAATTTTGTCTTGCGTGTTCGTACAAATGTTTTGTCATGTGAACACATTGCTTGCGTATTGACTATTCTGTTTTGTTTGTTTTGGAAACAAAATGGATAGTGAAGATAAAATATATTTAACGGAAAATTAGTTATCAAGTTATTTATTAATTTCAAATGACAAAAGATTAATTTGGTATAAAAATGGTATATTTATGTATTCCCCAAACAAAAATATTAGCAAATCGCAAAAATATTAGCAAATCGTATAAGTAAGTTTTCAAATTTTTTTCCATTTATAAACTTAAAATTACATGAAAACAAGACACACTTCTGAATTTCATTATTCGATTTTGAAGGAATGCATGAATTTCAAACAAAATATTTTGTTAAATTAATATTCGCATGAGAAAGACAAGATGTCGCTTGAATAGTTCTCAGCAACTGTAGCCACTAACATATGATTACATATATTTGATTTGTTCGTACGAATACGCAAGATATAATTCACATGCAATGTAACCGCAGCCATATAAATTCAAAAGCATAAACTTGAAACTATTTGTAATTGACGTGAAGTATATAGTAAACTGCTTTTATCAGTTTACTATATTTTGACACATGCCAAGTTTGTAAATGTGTTTTAAAAAAAAATTTAAATACGAAATATATCTTATAAAGAGCATTAGTTCCATCAAACCAACAAGAAAATGGAAGCCGTATTAAAAGCAATGGTAAGAATTCAGTTTTTTTTTCATTTTTACTTATTAAATGTGTGCGTGTCCATTAAAATTTGTTAACACAGGTTTTAATTTCCACACGCCAAAAAATAACTAAAATAACTAAATATCATAAATAATAAAGCGTGATGAAATAAAATAAATTATAAATTTTGTTGCTATAATTTGTAACAATAAAAATTTTAAATTGTGAAGTCAATAAAACAATTAATTTATGGAAATTAAACTAAAATGGAAATCTGCGATATTAAATATAAATTTTAAATACATATATATTTAAAAGAAATAACATTAAATTTATTTGCAAATTTTTTGTATATTTTAAATAAATTAATAATTAATATGAACTCTTAAAGTACGAACTTTTTGCGCTTTTTGTTTTCTATGTTTTCTATGTTCTTGCACATTTAGCAATATTAACGGTATTTAATATTTTCTGTTTTTCGTTTTTTTCTTTGCCAAAAGTACGGAAACTCTTATTACATATTAATTATTAACAAATATTTTTATATATATCTTTTATATATACATCAATTTTTAAGAAGCGTTTCTTTTTCATTACCTTAATAGCATGCGATATAATAGAATATATTGTAATGTGTAACATGTAACTTTGTTCATGTGTTCCAACATTAAGAATAGTCGCCATTTTGAAGTCCTTGCTCTCTTACTTTTGAGATATAGTCACTAAGCATAGTAAATCTGATTTTGTTGATTTCAAATAGATAGATTCAGACTTTTGGCCCATCTGGTATAATCCTTCGATAATTCTCACTACTGCCGCATATATATTGATCAATATACAATATAGTCCGCTACGATATCCATTGAAAAAAAAATACAGATGTATTTGGCAGTAGAATGCAATCGTATGTTAACAAATAATAAGCGAGCTAGCAGTAAGATCTATCCCATTCGTTCAGCTACGACGTTAACTTACTTTTATGCTGAAGTTTTATATTGAATCCTATTAATATATATATGATAATATATATAATATTATATGATAAATTAAATGGCAACAATTCTTGTTACATATGTTTATACTTATGCAATAAAAGATTTTAGAAAATATTAGCCCTCAACAACTTTTATGTTGGATGAATTCAAAAAATGTAAAAAAAAACCTGATTGTTCAAGAATTAAAATTATTCTTTGTCCAATTTTTTCATTCCGTATACTTTTTTGTTTCTTTTAGTTTCAGGTCTATTCACTGCTGACCTGTTTTCCTATTAAGTTATTTAAATGTAATATGGTAATTGATATTATCGCTGCTTTTTAATCTATGTGGTTTAGATTAGCTTCGTGGCTTTTCCTATGACAAAAACTTGTGTTTGACATATATTGTAATAGCCCCCAATTCTGCTCAATAGCTCCTGCTGCATTAAAAATAGCATGAAAGAGTTGCTTTTCCGCTATCCCTCTTCTTTCTATAGCACGGAACATTCTTGCCCAATTAGTATGCAGAGTCATAAGCTATATTATGTATTAGTTGCAATCCACTTTTAGTAAATTTAGTTTACGTCACCAACATTTCCACAGATTTTGATGCAAGGTTTTCAACCGCATGGTCGATAAGCGGCATGTTGATTATTATTTTTAAAACACAATGCTTTTAGTCCATTGGACTAAAGAATATCAATTTCATTATATCATTCATTATTATATCCACCACTCCAGAGCATTGTAAAGCATAATGTGCTTTGAGGTGCTTTACGAGCTCAAAAAATTATCTATTATATTTTTATATGCATTAATAGCTTTTTTTATTACTTAAACATAGTGTTTTCAAACCTATTTTGGATTTAAAGTTGCTCAGTATAAATCAATTCAGTATAAAGTCAGATGCTTTTTACTTCTTAGTGAAAGGTAATAGTTTTTTCCATATCAATCCCTAGCTTTGCATATATCACCAATAGCTGAATTATTATTATTGTGTTGTTCTTCATGTTATTAATCGTATCAAAGTACTTATCTGTATGTTCTACGACGATGTGATCCCCATATGCAAACAATTTCGATACTTTGCCATCACATTTATAATCCAATCAAGCTATTTTAGCTGTAAGTTCTAAAACAATGTTGTTGTTTATTTAGTCATTGACTATATTCCAATTCGCTTCCATCCATTTCCAGTTTAACAAACTTTTCATCCATACTTAAATCTATAATTTTTATACATAATTTTTTAAAATTTTAATTAATTTTTTGTAATATTTGATTGCATTTTGTTTTTCGCGATGTTAATAAGGATTTTTTTTAATATTTCATAATCCATTTCGTTCTCATCGTGCCCTTATTAAATTTTCAGGGTCTAATCACTAAATGTTTTATTTTTATCGTCAATAGATCTCTGGGGTATAGAGCCTTATATAATTAAAAAAAAATACATTATATTTTTTGTTAAATGAGTTTGAATTCTAAATCTACTCCCCTTTGTATACACTACTGATTTTAAAGTGTGAATGCAGTGACAGTTAAACTAAGTTTTTAGTAAGAAATATTATTACAGAAGGCTATGAAATAAATTTGAATTCAATTTTTACAATATAAACTTGAATTATAATTTATTTCATATTTTTCTTGAGTTAAATAGTGTGTTTCCTAAAATTCTGTGCTCAACTCCAAATATCATCATTTATGTAAAGTAAATGGTGTGATTATATTTTGGACGTTCTATAAATTGGCTTTCAAATTTGACGTTGCTATTTGTTATCTTTGGCGCTTCTTTGTCTGTACTATTGTGAATGTTTGCAGAAAAGGTAATGACAGCTAAATGCAAATAATCATTCCCACAGTAGGCTGTGCTAAACAAACTTATATATAAGTCAAAATCGTTTTGTATATTTTCAATAAAGCTTAATTGTTAAAAATGGACACGGTTGAAGCAAATGATAATGTTAATCGTGACGATTTAATCATGAAGCAACAACGTGAGATTGAGAAGGAGGTATATTATTAAAAAACAACAGCGTATTTCTTTAAAATAAATTTGCCGCTTATTATCTTTAAACCTTATTTGATTTTAAATTAACTAATGCGTTCAAATTTTTAGATAAGTGAGACCACCCCTCTGGTTAGCGAGAAGGTCCTCGTCACAACTCTTCAAAGCGAATACACCAGCGACACCGTGTTCCTATCTAAAATTCAGGACTTGTCTAAAAAGTACACATTCATGCGCCGCACTCGTCCAGATGGCAATTGTTTCTTCCGCGCTTTCGCCTACGCTTACATAGAACACTTGATCTCAGACAAGGAAGACTACGTCAAATTTGTCAAGCTAGCAGAAGAATCCAAAGAGAAGCTAGTTAAGCTAGGTTTTCCAAGTTTCACATTAGAGGATTTTCATGAAACAGTAAGAATAAATCATTATTTCTGTAGAAATCATTATTTTGCTCTTTAAAATTGTAATAAAGCTATTACTTTGCTGCAATTTATTCTATATATATCATATTAAAATATCTCAATCATTATATTTATTATTTAAACAACCTTTTTAAACGTTGAAGCTTTAGTCTTTTTATAACGGTTTAGCTTAGATGACTCAGCTATATTTTCAATGCAAAACTATTATTATTAGAAATAGTTTAAAGTTCGTTTTTATTAAAATGATTTGTTTTTTATTACATATTATTGCTTATTTTATAAAGTTATATTAAATCTAAATAAAAGTTAATGAAATATATTTACAATATAATTACTATATATGTATTTTTATATAAAGTGATTATTTTTTTGTATTTTTAATATTTTCTTTGATTAAATACGGGTAATACGGTATATATAAAATTAAATCAAAGAAAATACCACTATGGCACAAATACTGTCGTTAATTTGAGTTGTGATATATAAAATTTAAATATAAAAATTAATTTCGTTTATTAGAGAGTTATTTTCTGTCGAGGAAGACACCATTGAGGTCTACCAACAACTGACTGGGAGTTTCTAAAATGCAAATATTTAAAAACTAATCATAAATATTATAATAAATATATATGATTATTCAATATTTTAGTATTTTGAAACTGTACGCTTTTGTATCTAATTCAGTATTATATTCAGTTTTAAACTTTTATTACCTGTAGTCTCAACCTAACTCTCTAAATCTATTTTAATATAATAAATTTATTTTTTTAGTCCCAAACTCTTATTATATATACTCTCATCTTAGTTGTCTAATTAAAAAAATATATTAGTTTTTGTATCTGTTATAGTATTATAATAATGAGTTTTAAATTCTTATTATTTTTAGTTTCTACGTAACTTTCTAGGGCTATCTTATTTAAATAATAAATATATTCTTTTAGTTTTAAATTCTTATAATCTGTAGTCTACATAATTATTAAAGTCTATTTTAGTATTATAATAACTAAAATTTTCAAAATAAATTAAAAAACTATTTCTATATCATTTATATATTAGTTCATGGAGGTGCTTAAGCGGGTTGATCCAACTACTGCCGGTTCTGAGCAAGTCCATGGCGAGTTGCATAAACTGTTTAATGAGCAAGGTTATTCGGACTATGTGGTGGTTTATTTAAGACTGTTGACTTCTGGCAAATTGCAAGAAGAAGCTGATTTCTATCAAAACTTCATTGAAGGCAATTATACTATTGAGGAGTTTCGCCATCAGGAAGTTGAGCCTATGTATAAGGAATCAGACCACATTCACATCATTGCATTGTGTACAGCATTGGAAGTCGGTGTACGTGTAGAATACATGGATCGCGGTGAAGGAGGTTCCGTCAAGGCTCATGACTTTCCGGAGGGTGCAGATCCTAAAGTATTTCTCATTTATCGTCCTGGCCATTATGATATTCTTTATCCCAATTAAGAAGTTAACCTCTTAATTGTTCAAAATTTAAAATTATTTAAAAGTTTTGAAATTTTTTTGCTCACTCTGCTTCATTAACATTAAACTAACATATTAGAAAAAAAATATATATACACATACTTTACATCAAAAATTACTTGTAATAGCAGCATGATACAATATTTTGAATAAAAAGAAAAAAAAATATTCAAAACAAAATTAAAATGCATATTACGTATATAGAAAATCATTTTACATGCTCTTATATAAAGAATTTAAAGAAAACAAATTTGTTAATAATAAATATTCATAACTTTTTTTATTAAGGAAAAACTCATGGCATAATTTATTATTATAAAATAAATCAAAATATTTTATTAAACTAAAATATAATTTTCTTAAAAAATAAAATCAAAAACAGTAATTAAACTGAGTAAAATGTTGAAGACTTAAGTGAATTTAAGGACTTTTATTTATTATTTGCTATTTTATTTATAATTATTCACAAAATTTTTGAAGATTATTTAATGTAATAGCATCATTTGGTTTGTCTTGTTACAATTGTTCCAAAATATGACTAGGCGATTCCAAGCTTCCGGTGTATGCCTCAAATGTATTCTATAAAATTGGAAAAAGTTTGATATAAATTATAAAAACGTATTTAACAGACTCACAAAAAGATACTGGATTATATCAGGATTGTTAAACAAATGCTTCGCCATCTAATACTCATATTACATCTTTATACAATAAACATGTTTAATATTCCTTGAATTTATATTACGGCATCACGAGTCAATAAGGAAACTGATTGGGCAGACACCTTTAAATACCATCGTAGTTAAAATACTAAAAATTTACAGATATCAGTAATTTCTAAGACCGGCTTATCCAAGAACGTATTTAGAATGCTATAAAAATATGGCCACTATAGACCAGATGCTATAAATCTATTACGAATATTCAGGTAAATATTTTGGCTATTACGAATATTGAGTGGAACTATATGAGGGCATAATAAAACGAATTCAGTCACATGTGAAGCTTTGCATGCAATTCAAACATCGAGATTCGTTAACGGTAACAGGATAAGCTGTATTTTCTTTGGAGAAGAAGTAAATAACCGGAGTCAGCATGATATATGGTATATATTAAAATTAACCAATCCATTTAAAATTTTTTGCCTATGACTCCTAGAATATGGAAACCGAACTTGAGGATTACTTACTTTATATATTTCATTTTTAATAATATTCAATAATTAATATAAAAATAATTAATTAATTATTTTAATTAATAATTAAATTACTGTAAATATCACTACGGCTACGTTTACTTTACGAAGCTACTCGGCTAAATGACTAGATCACCTGTCTAGTCTAATACAACAACATTATTTCTAGTATTGTATTAATGCTTCTAAAATGCTATTTGATAAAAGTCTATAAAAGGATAAGCCCTCACATAAGATTCTCTCTTCAAAAAAAACTTGGACTCTAGTTAAAGTAAATATCATGGTAATTTTGCAATCCAAAGACGTAAGTACTTGGGGATTTATTTTAAAGGAAGATAGTTGTAAATAAAACATATTTCCAATAAGTAGCTAAAGTAAAGCTGAAGTTTTTATTGGCTTTTTAAGCATAACTTAGCTGTGGCAATAAAATTATATTGTAGTCATTCAAGTATTTCGGATCAATGAATATCTATATGGAGCCATGGATCTATAAAATTATAGCTCATGGCTTGCATAGTACACTTTAATAGACTTCAAAGACTACCCAACAAACTTCTATGATAAATTTTTGAAGCGCACTAAAAACCTTCATATTTCGATCATTTCTAAGGAAAGATACTTGATAAAACTTCATATCCAGAGCAAATACATGTGCTGCTTTCAGGTTAAAGTCTGGCTAAAGTGAAAATATTTGATATCTTTATGATGGATGGTCTTCACTTGAGTTAAAATTTTTAATTTATATTTTAATATTATTAAATTAGTAATGCGAAAAAATCAAATTTTTAATGTGATAAAAATTACATAGAAATTCAATATTCAATAAATAAATATGGAAAAAAATTAGAATATACAAAAATTAATTTAAAAAATTAAACATATAATAAGAAACTAGAATACATACATTTTTACTAATTTTTAATTAAATGTCTTTAATAGCCATAAACAGAATTCGTTTTACTATAAATTAATTACAAATAATTAAAATTTATATATACAATCTCTCATCCAATTCAGTGGCAAAACCAGAATTGTGGTAAGAGAGAAAAATACTAGAATATTATCTGTAAATGAAATATCAAGGTGGTATCTGTTCTTTACCCAATCTGTATCTGTTCTTTACCTCCTTACCCAATAAGCAACCAATTATCACACTAAAGTATATATCATATGAAACATAACTAACAATAACAGCTCTTCAACATCATCCCCTATCATTCAATAAATCATAAGCTAAAAATTTTACACTGCATATTAACTGCTCTACTAAATTGTTTTATGTTAATTACAAAGCAAACTCCCTTATAGGGATTATTCTTTCCCTGCTGCTGTTGCGGCTGGTGAACGGCAATTAGATTGGACCCAGGCTAAATTCAATCATTCTCATTCTTCTCTTCTTTACCCCTTGCTAACTAGCGAGGGCATTTTGTGTATCATTCTTATAGGTACTTATTTTCCAGATTTAATAACAATAATATAGAGTTCATATCTTATCACTTGGTTTACGCATGCAGCTAAGTAAAAGTCATAGTGTTAGTTTATAGAACCAAAACAAAAAAATAAATGTCTCGTTATGTTTAAAAAATTTCCATCAGTCTTTTATATTTTTTTAAATATTATTCATTATTGAAGGTAGATAGTCTACTAGAATGTCCAGTTCAATGTCTCGGAGCGACTCGTTAATTACGACGGCGAAGTGCTGTTTACCATCCGAAAGCGATTTTACCAGCAGATCCCAACGGGTCACAACAACAACAACATTTGGAGATCGTCTCTATTTCTTCTTTGCGGTGTATATTAGCGCTTCTAATGTACCAAGGAGCTTTAGCTCTTAGTACTTTATTTTGATACAACGAGTATTGAGTTTTGTCATTTTATTTCAACAACCTTCGGTTTATAAGCAATTTAAATGTTAAAGAACAAATTATACTTTTCTAAAAACATTTATTTGGGTTTTTCAAATAATTATAATATTATATAATTACAATTTCTCTACATTATGAGTCAGGGTTGAACATTTTATTAAATTTATAAATTTAACTTAATAACAAACAACAAAGTTGAAATTTAATTTCGTTGATGTTGATTCAATAATCTGATTATTAATATCGTAAATAATTTTAATCTAAGTTTAATATATCATTTTTCTTCTTTAATTTTTGAGAAAAAAAGAAAATAAACAACAAACAAGATTTCAAAATAGGATATTGATGTCAATATTTTTTTGGTTGCACTAGTATGTGTTAACTACCTCTAAAATTGTTGTGCATTAAACAGAATTGTCGAACTAATAAGCTCACTAAGAACCGTTTACAATTTTGAGTCCCCTCCGCCGGCTAGTCAATCTGCATCGCACACAGCCATTGCTTCAGTTTTTTCCTCAAGCAATTCGTTACCAGTTGCTTCTAATTTGCTCTTTGTAAAATCGTTAATTGCTAAATTCTGTACTATTTTCCACTGCTTTCCAACAATTTCCACTGGGAAGGAAAATACAACGTCCTTTGGAGCACCATAGCTACCGTCAGAAATCACACCCATTGAAACGAAACGACCGTTTGCTGTACCATGCCACCAATCGTGCATGTGATCACAAGCTGCCTTAGCGGCAGACATAGCAGATGACATCTTACGAGCGGAAATAACCGCTGCGCCACGCTTTTGAACAGTTTCAACAAATATCGATTTTAAATAAGAATCATCGGACAATATTTCAGATAGTTTCTTTGATTTGTTGTCAATATTTACGACTGCATGATTTGGATCTGGGAATTGGGTTGAAGAATGATTGCCCCAGATGATAACATTAGAGACATCACCAATTGAAACATCCAATTTATGCGCTAATTGAGCAGTGGCACGATTTTGATCCAAGCGTGTCATAGCAGTGAAGTTTTCGCGTGGAATTGATGGCGCATAGTGTGAACATACCAAAGCATTAGTATTAGCTGGATTTCCAACAACTAAAACTTTTACGTCCTTAAGGGCAAATTTGTCCAAAGCTTGACCTTGTGCTTTAAATATTTTCACATTTGCAGAAAGTAAGTCTTTACGTTCCATACCCTCTTTACGTGGCATTGCACCAACTAAGAAAGCAGCGGAAACATTTTTGAATGCTACTTCGGGATCAGCAGTTGCAATAACTTTGTTCAATAAAGGTAAAGCGCAGTCAGCGAGCTCCATAACAACACCTTCCAGTACGCCCATCATTGGTGGGATATCCAACAAATGCAAAACTAATGGTTGATCCTTTCCAAAAACCTCTCCACGTGCAATCATATACAGTAATGAATAGGCAATCTGACCAGCAGCGCCAGTAACAACAACATGAATTGGCTCCATCTGAATATACAAAAAAAAAAAAATACAAGGAGTTAAAATAAAATTTTCTAAAAAAATATTTAATTAATATGAGCTAAATATAATAAAACTAATGCAACAATCAGAAAAGTCTACTATTAATGGCAAGAAGATAACGCATTTAAAAAAAAAGAATATTTCTATTGTTGGCAAATAGACAACAATATTTCTATTGTTGGAAAATAGACAACAATATTTCTATTGCTGGCCATAGACCCACTCAATAATGGATGGGTCTATGGTCAGGAGCTACTCATCGAGTGCCATTTAGCACGCCCAAAAGAATCAACACAAGCAGTTCTTTGCAGGCTACAATAACAAATTTACCATAAATCTATTTCCATAGACTAAAAAAAATATTAGTTTTCTAAACTACGTCCATAAATCGCACCGTGTTCAGAGCATCAGTGATCCAAACTGATTTACCACAAAGAGTGTCTCGATTAGTCTTCTCACAAAGAAAATCCCGATTGATATGAGAAGTGAGAAGAAGAAAATAATATTGGCTGAAAATATCTGCTAACTTTATTTAGACTTTAAAGAAAGTCAAAAAGTAAATTAAAGTTGCACGAATGTCTGACGCAAATAGCAACCACATTTAATGATTTCATCCATATGAATGTGGTCATATCATAATGAATTTAATTTACACGTAAATGTATATATAACAATATTAAAGCGGTCACAGAAGTTGAGCTAGTTGAACTTTGTGGAACTGTGAATACCATTATAGTTGCTTTGTCATCTGAGCGGGGTACAACAGCATGTTTGGATAAGCGTTTATGTTTAAAAAGTGGTAAAGTAAATAGATACCTTACTCAGGTGTTTTTAACACCTGGAAATATTTGCAAGAAATGGACAAAGTATAAGATCGGTAATTACATATTTGGCGATACAGACGATAAACAAAACATATTTGTCGTATGTGAATAATAGATAGTCTCATCTTTAATGAAAGTTTCGACAAATATAAATACAAAAAATATGGTTACATATTGAACATGATATGATGGACATTAAAGCTACTAGGTGACTAAGTAAAAAAAATCTGGAAATCTTATCTGGAACTTATATGATAAGAAGGCACCAATAACAACAGTGTCAACTAACGGCACAATGCTAATAAAGCCCGACATATTAACTAGAAGTTGAAGTAATATAATATTGTGCTTTGAGTGGGTTTTGATCCAATATTTTATACAAATATTATTCCTAAAAGTAAGACATTTAAATAAACCTTTAAAAATCAAATTGATCCGAAAAATGTTAATTTGATGAAAAGACAATAAATAAAATGTATGGGTATATAAAAGTAATTTGGCTGGGCAAATATAAATTAAATTAAATATTAAAAATAGTACCCAAACCACTGATAATGGGTATTTGACAATATTCAAAACAGCTGTATGGTGTTTTATTGTTGTAAATTACTACTACCTTTCTCACTTCAAAATATCTCTCTATTGAAAACAATAGTTTATATTACTAACTTAGATTATTTCTTCTAAACGGACGTTAAAAATAAATTTAATAATATATATTATATATAATGTTTATATATAAAGATTTATATTTATTTGATCTGTAAAGATAATTAGAAAAGACACATAGTACTAGATTTACGTTTAATCTTCCTTTTTATTATGAATATTTCGAATATAAATATTTAATCTGTAAAGATATTTAGAGGAAAATATATGACTGCATTAACTTTAAAGTAATATTTTAAGAATAATGTATATTTCCAATAATGTATGTAACAGGTTTGGACATATACACATATTCACTGTCAAGTGCAATAATTAAGAAATAAACGGCAACTTTATAATTTATTTTAAAAATTATTTCCAAATTCAAATTTATTCATATATCAAAAGTATATGTGCTAAATAAACTATAAATAGACGTAAGTTAGACTTAAGCAATATAACTATTTTAAGATAATCACGTTCACATGACTGAAGGTCTTATTCGTGCAGTTATTTTTAACATTCTGTATTTCAGTTAAAGCTAAAGATGAACCCTTAGTCTCTATCTAATTTTTTTTTAATGTAAATCTGAAAATATATGCTTTAGTTTTTATCTAATATGTAAAACACATTGTCGTTATAATGTGTATAAAATATACAAACAATAAATAAAATAAAAATATAAGTTTGTGTATATTGCTAGAAGTCGTAATAGTTCTTGATTAAATATTTGGGTATTTATAGAAATATGGTAAACAGGGTGCTGTATATGTGACATGTTATTTCTGATTAAACTTCACACCGCCCCACAATTGTTTTTGTTTTTTGGAACTAAAGCATTATATGTATAACATTCATTTCGCACGAAAAATTGATATAAATCTCTGTGTAAAAAAATTTTTCTACAATGTCCAAATTTTTTTGGAACTCTCTTTTTATTTATATAAAATAAAATTTTTTAATGTTCAAATATTCTGCAACAATATTGCTACTCCTAAAAAAGAAATTTTCTTCAATGTCCAAATTTTTTGGAACATATTTTCTATTCATATAAAAATAATTATCTACAATGCTCAAAGGGAGTAAAGGGAGATTCTTTAACAAATAAAATAAAAACAAAAAAAAATGTAGATACCTTAAGATGCATTTTAGATAGAAATGTACAGAAGAAAATATGATATTTATAAAGAAAAAACTAACAAAAAAATAGACACAGATAAGTAAGGTTTGTTAAAAAAATTTTTACAACTACAAATCTTAAATCACTAAAATTTCTAAATCTATTTAGAAGTTTCATAAATTCGAATTGTCCAGAAATCAGAACCAAAAAAATTCAGTACATTGTATGCACCAAAAGCCGTAAAATTACTTTTGGTTCTAATACTTTTGGTTCTAATATATGTTTAAAACGAATCTGAATATGACTTCAATACCGATAATGATACTTCAAATAACATTGAAGATGACGTTACCAATTTCACATCCAATGTGTCTCATTCTGAAGCGATTGAAAGCGTCAATATCTTAATAAATTGGTGTAAAAAGAATGAATCGTTTCCTACAAATCATATGACCAATCTTATAACTCTCCGTAACAAAAACATTGTAAAAAATTTAACTAAACCTAAAAAACAAAGAAACAACTTAATATTTTATACAATAATATTGATTTCAACTATAAAATAAAGTTTTTATGTAGAAGGTTAGTTTTTTGATCATTTTTTATAGAAATAGTTCAGAAATTAAAACTTTTCGCAAATTCGAACTACCCGAAAAACCAAGTGGATCTAATTTGCGAGCTTCTAATGTATTATATATTACCTCTTAACATTTCGACTTTTGACTATATAGTCAAACTTCCATAACTCGAAGTACCATTTTACAAAGAAAAGGTTCGACTTACGGAGACTTCGAGTTAGAGAATTTTTTTATTTTCGAAAGAAACTTGAATTACAAGATATTTATTTATTTGCAATCGAATAAAGAACAGAAGTTATAGTCAGGTAAAATATTCAGAAATTAAGGTTTGTGACTTTAATTTTTTTTCTTATATTCGGTAAAATGAGATTCCACTTTATTCATATTCTTATAGTGATCATCAATTGTAGTATCATTCGTTTGCAAATATAAATTCAGAATATTAAATGAATCTTCTACTTCATTCTTGGAAGGCTGATGAACAATTACATCCACCGAACCATCATCACTTTTCGTTGAACTTAGAATTGTGTCCAGTAATCTAGAGCTATAGTGCTTAATAATATCGTCATCTGTAGGAAAGCTTGATTTACAAATTTCATTGTCACGCTCAATACAATCGTTAGAGTAACATTGGAAGTTATTTTATTTACTTTAAATAGCGCTGCCAGCGACTGGCATTTGCACAAAGAAGCAACATAAGAAAGAAAAAATTAAACATGTGGTTTGGAAAAAGGGACTTCACCTAACAGCAAAATGTATTCATACTTAAAACAAAAATTCGACTTATAGAATGAACTTTCCCATATTCCTATCGGCACGAAACAAAATTTTTGTTTGAGTTATAGTGAAATTCGTGTTATGGATGCAAAATTGTATGTAATTTGCTCTCTAAAATCCTGTTGCACTCTTTTTAGTTCGAGTCCTAGAAGTTCGAGTTATGGAAGTTTGACTGTAGTTCTATTTTTTAAACAATTTACCAAAATAAATGACTCCATTTAAGCAACAAAGCATATTATTCTGTAATTTAAAGGATGTGTAATGCATAATGTATAACTCATGGTTGGATCAATCATTTTTTGAGATATTGAGCGTTTATTGCCTGGAGCTATTTTCGGGTGAACTGTGTTGACACTCCGTATCCCAATTTTGAAATTTTGAAAATGCATATAAAAAATGTGATTGTTTCGTTATGATTGACTAAAGAAACACTTCCGGATATAAGACTTTGAACAGAAACATATATATAATTTTTATATACCATATATGTATGTAAATCCATATAAAAAAATTAAACTAAATAAACTTAAGCAGGGTCAATAAGAAGAGTAAGATAAGCGCGTATATACTTTCTGTTTATATAAATCAATGCGTGTAAAATTCCGAATTCGTCAAATTCGGAATTTAAATCCCAAAATCTTTATTTACATATTTCATTGTAATTAACAAATTATATATAATTTGGTCGCATTGATACCGGCACGTTGCTTATCTCCGATAAGCATAGAAAACTTTCGAATTAAATCCCATTTTATGAGCGTAGCCGATAAGACCTTGGACTTGTGACTTTGATGTGATAGCAAAAGAAAAAACTTGAAATATACAACTTTCTTCTATCATGTTTTTTGTAAAATAGCAATTATCTTGTCTTTACAATAAGATGCAAAGTGCGACACTTTCTGAGTATCTCATGACAAAAGGACAAGACATACAAGGATATAATTCTTGACAAGGGCTTCCCACGTAAGTGAAAGTGCATTTTTAGAATTTGTCAGTATTATATTTATACATTTATATGCACATATGCACAAATATAAACCTAAACGCATATAAACTTGTAACTAATGTACATGCGCGTCATAAAGGCAGAAAAAATTGCTCTTGACAAACTGACTTGACTGACTGCAATTATTCAGATTTAAATTGGTTTAATGCACTTGCATGGGAGCAAAAAAATGCGTCAAACAAGTTTGTGGGCTGTTGACTGCAATATGAAGGCATGAAGGCACTAATTTTAAATCGACGCAAATTAAATATGCGACCGCCCGGTTGACGTTATGACGTTTATGATGATGCTCCGTTCGATATTAAAATAGTTTTAATTTTAAACGTACACTTCAAATAAAAAGTGTTTTGCGCATCTAATAAAACAAAATTAAATATAATATTTGATTTATTTATTAAGCATTAGCATTTATAAATTTACTTGTTGACTTTTCTTATTGTCGAAGAATATTTTGAATATCTTGAAAGGTCAAATGAAAGTTATTTTTCCAGAAGACAAAAATATTATATAAATATGAAATCAAAAGTTTAAAATATATGCCCTTTACCCCCCTTCAAACACTTAACAAAAACGTTCAACTGGAATCTTTTCGTATGCACTGGAAATAGGTTTTCTTAACTTATTTTTATGTCTTACCACTTTTGTTGAATCTGATTTATTTTATTAAATTCAAAAATAAAAAAAAAACAAATAAACACGCAAACTTTGGAATCAAAACCGGAATGGAGCAAAATCTGTATCCACGACAATAATGAACACACGAGAAATCCACGGGAGATGGTGTATTTATTGGGTCGAAAATATGACAGCACTGCCAGCTGTGCAAAATCATAAAATATTTCACATATTTTATGAAAAGCAATGCCAATAAAGAATTTTGAAAGATTTTATAAACAAATTTTTTACTATGTTTAGACACACCTTAATTTCACAAAAATCTCGTTTTCATCTTCGTTTCAGCGAAATTAAGTTGTTTTTTTCCATACAAAATTCAGTTTTGAGGTTAGAACGAAATTGAGGAAAATGCCCTTAATTTCGTTGAAACAAAGGTTGAAATTAAGGGACATTTCAAATGCAACTATGCGTAAAATACATTTTTAGCAAAAGATAAAGTTAAGATAACGAAATTATTTTGAAAGTAGTGCAAATGTTTAAATTTTAATATAGAAAAAAAACTATAACCGTTATTAATTTGAAAAAGAGTGAAAAATAATAATTCACATACCTGAAATTCACTAAAGCTAATAAAACTACTAGATGCCATCCTTTATAGTTATAATAAACAATTTTCAAAATTTTCCAGATACAAATAGTGTTTAGAGCATGTCATTTTTAACATTCGATTTGTAAACAAAAAACATATGATTTCCTTAATTTGGTACAGTATTAACACTTTCGAAATTAACTTAATTTCATTTTTACAAAATCAAGAAAATTTAGCCCTCTGAACATAGTTTTAGATGAAATAATTTAATTACAATTAAAATAATAATTTTTACACACAAATATTTATTAGGAAAATTGTCCAAAATAATTCTCCAAAAAATTTTGTTTGAGAATAGTCTGCTACGGACTAATTCAATTATATTGTATGCGATATGAGACTGTTGCTAATCATATAAAAGAGTTAATTACATTTCTTCAACGTATACAATTAATTATTCTATTTGTGGGCTTATTGTCGAAAAACAAGAATTATTTCGTTAGTGAAAAGATAGAATATTAGCTTAAAACTGATCCGCTAAGGACTACTGTATTCGAGTACAGTAATTTTAGTAATTTTATGTATTCGAGATGAGAATGTGGCTAATCATATAAAAGATTGCACTTCTTCAATTCAATTATTCTACCTTTGTTATAGTATGAAATAATTTTTTTTTGTTTTTTGTTTTTAACACTTATTTCATACTAACACATACATTGAATAATTTTTTGAAATGAGTCCGTTACTGACTACTTAATGTATTTGAGATGATTGGTTGGTCATTGCGGTGGTGATCATTTAAAAGAGTTGCATTTTCTCAATGTTCCTAAAAAATCAAATACTTCGAACTAAAATATTTCTATTACATTTAACAATTATTTCATACTAGCACATAGATTAGAGCACTTGTTTGAAACTAGACCATTACGGATTCAACATGAGAGCGCTGATCATATAAAAAACTTATATATATTCTATGTGTGCGATTAGTCTATATATATATATTAGTATTAAATAATTGTTATCTTTAGACCTTTTTGTCAAAAAAGAAGATTTATTTCCAACTAATACATAGATAGACAGAATAATTGTTAGAAACTAGTCCGTTACGGACTACTTAAGTTACTTTGTATTCCAGATGAGAGCGTTGATGACTATATAAATGATTAAAAATTTTTTTAATGTATGTAAATATTCTTAATATATGTTAAAATTTTTTAATTATTTTTTCAATTGTTTTTAAAATATGAAAAATATTTTATTTTATGTTTTAAAAATATCATTAAAATATGAAACTGTCATATAAGTCTATTTCGAATAAAGAAAAGAGGAATAATATCAATTTTTTGAGTATAGAAATACTCGTATTCAGCAAAATTTATCACAAGTGTTATTTTAATGGGATCATTTCTTGATACTTACAGTCCAAACGGATTTCCAAAAATCACTGATGATGGATAATTACCAATATCTGAAACAGTTATATGGTCAGTCTAAGAATTCACTTGATAGATATTAAAATCTTAAATTTAAAAGTTTTACTATTCATAAGAAAATTTTTGTTCAGAACATAAAAATTTAAATTTATTAAAGTTTTAGCAAATATATATTAGAAATATTAAGATGTTATACTGAATCCTAAACTCACGATTATATTGCCTTCAAACAATTAATATGACGAAATAAATTTATTAATTAGAATATTGTAGACTTTTATTAATAGACAGTCAAATCTTTGCATTCCAAAAAAAAAAAAAATGTTAATAGCAAAAAGAATTTTCCTAAAACGTTATAAAGTATATAATAAAATAAAACCATTTATCTATTTATATAATTTATTTATTTTTATCATCAATTTTTAATCATTATCTATCATACAAAATTATTTTCTTTATTGTGTAGCGGAAACTGAATTATTTTATATATATATATATATATATAAAAAACATACAAAAATTCTACTACAGCAATAAACCATCAATGATATATAAGTATGTGGACTATAATATTTTGACTCAAATATAAAACTTATTTTACGGATCGAGTCGTGTACGTGGGTTCCAGTAAAACATACCTAAAGAATCGTTTACATTAAAAAAACTTACCTATGTCCAGCAACAAAAAAATTATATAGAAACTGCAGAATAAATAAAATGAGAATTATAGTAGAAATTTGAAAACAGCAGAAAAAATAATTGGAATTAATAAGAATTTTTATTGAAATTAAAAATATATTATATAATTTGTGAAATAGAATATTACAATACATGCCGCACATTATATTTATTTATCTATTTTATAAGTAACTATTTCATCAATGTCTATTTCATTAATTTTTTTCTATTATAATTGTTATGTGATTATCGTTATATCGTCGTGATCTACATTAATGCTTTTGTTATTATATATGTAGGTATCTAGCACTTTTGATTGGAGTTGTAGAATTATAATGACACTGGTCTTCATAGTTAAACATCGTACGCTCGTATTAGTTTTTTTAGTTTATAATTTAAAGCTTTGTTTTGTAGTGACAGTTGCGAGTAGGGATCAAGCAACCAATAGTTATATTTTAATTTAAGAGTCAACTTCTAAAAATATCCTGCGGAATTAAATGTTTGTCTTGGTTATATCGGAGATATTTTGTACTGAATTCTTGAGAAGATTGTTTGTTATTTAAGTCTCTACGAACAGTGTTAACTGAGCGGACTTCGATGGGTTTGTGTTAAGGATTTGTAGTTGGGTGAGCGCTAATGCTGGGTGGAATGTGTAGACATGATGTTCGTTTAATCTGTGAATGTTACTATAGATGTGGAAATGTCCGAATCAGTTGTTAAAATTCTACATAATACATTGTGACCGAAAAGTTTTCGGAAATTCTCATTTAAAATTCGCGCGCTGTATATTTTTCGATATTTTAAGTTTATGTAGTTTGGCAGCACTGTCCTTAATTACTATGCCAAAAATGAGCGCGATCTGTCAGACAGTTCGTTTACGGCAGCTGTTGAAACCAGTTCACCTCAGTAGTGCGTTGCGAAAAAAACAATGGAAAAAAATATTGAACAAAGAGTTTGCATCAAATTTTGTTTTTCGAACGAAATTTCGTGTGCAGAATCGTTGCGAATGCTACAAAAGGCTTATGGGGAATCAGTTTTATCGAAAACTCAAGTTTATGAGTGGTACAAAGCCTTTCAGGACTGTCGTACGACCGTCGAAGACATGCCGCGTTCTGGACGACCTTCGACCTCTACCACCGACGAAAACATTGAAAAGGCAAAGGAAATCGTGTTCAAAAATCCTCATGTGAGTGTTAGAGAGATAGCACGAGAGCTAGGCATCGGTCGTGAGATGGCTCGTTTGATTTTGGTGGACAATTTGTGTATGCGACGTGTCAACGCCCGGCTTGTTCCGATTCACCTCAATTTGTTCAACATTATCAACGATTTTAAGGCCAAACATTCAATAAATACCATCGAACAGCCACCGTATTCACCTGATCTTGCACCGTGTGACTTTTTCCTGTTTCCCAACCTCAAATTACCACTCAGAGGAACGCGTTTTGAATCCATAGAAGACGTAAAACAGAATTCGCAGAGGGAACTCAAAGCCATACCGGAAAGCGCCTATAAAAAAATGTTTTGATGATTGGAAGAAACGTTGGCATTTGTGTATCGCTTCTAATGGAGCATATTTTGAAGGAGATAAAATAAATATTGATGAAGATTAAGAATTTTGCGTTTTATTTAAAACGCAAAGGAAACTTTTCGGTCACAATGTATTAATCAAAGAGTGCTGTCTTAAGGAACCTAGATAACTTACTGCGTACGTTTACTATAACTACAAAACAATAATAAATTTTAGATAATAGATGTCTTATTGACATCTGTAATAGATGTCTAAAGGTCTTATTGATCTAAATAATATTGTTTCTTAGGGTTGTTCACTAGGTTAAGAAGGGAAGATGGCTCTAATACTTTGTTTACAACTGCTAAGCGTCTTATTAATTTATATGGCATCGTTTCTTCTAGTGATTTACTAGGTAAAAAGTGGAGTCACATTCAAATACTTTATTTGCAATTGGTTAGGGCTTTATTGATCTCTATAACATCTTTTTTGCCAAAAGAAATATCAAATGATTTATCACATGAGAAGGGGTAGAGTAAAATTTAATTAGTTTGTTTGCAACTAGTAAGGGCCTTATTAATATGACATTATTGTTTCTAGAAGTTTACCAAGCTGTACACAATTCTCGCTATAGAATTGAAGAGCTGTGTGAGATGCATAACACCACTTTTAGATAGTTTAAGCAGGATTTCTGCAGAGTTGTTAAATTGTATACCGGAATTTTTTCAAGCAAACATTTCATAATATAGAAACTGTATTATTCTACTAATTGACTAAAGGTAACGTGGATATTGTTGATCACATATTGTTGTGTAAAATTTGCGATGTGTGTAGAATAGATAATAAGTGGCCTGCTCAAGGTTCATAATATTTTAATCTCAGATATAAATGCACTATAATGTATGACTTGATTTCTAGGGTTTCAAAGAGGAAATTGAGAGTGCTGAACATTTTTTAACGATGATATAATAGAAGGTAATCAATACGTTAAGAATAACGATTCTTCGTTTGCACACTCTTTAAAGACATATAAGTTAAGACCATTTATGAAAGTTTTCATTAATTAATGTGCAAAATTTGCTTTCCTAAAATTTGCTAAAACTGCTTACTTTTTAAATCAAATATAAATATTTTATTATATATATTTTATACATATATATATGTTATATTTTGTTTTAAATGTAAATGTTCATACATTCAACAAGCAATTCTTTATCGTCTGTGAAAAAAGTGCAGAACCCACAAATTTTTTTCTTGATTAATTATATGAAAAAAAAAAAATTTTATCGAAAACAATATAGTTTTTTTTTTATTAAACAAACTCCAAAACAAATACATTATTTAAACAAAAAAAGAAAATATATTCTCTATATATAAAAAAGTGCTTTTAAGTAGCTCAACTACTTTTCTTTAATTACTTCTAACGTATACCTATGTGTTCATATAGCATTGAATCGTCTGTGCAATTTTGTGGCTCGTTTTGAATTAAAAAATATGAATTGAATAATTATCAGTAACTACCAATAATTAATAGCTAACTAGTTGTATTTATTATGTAGAGGCTAGTTGAGTCAGTGCACCTGAGCACTTTTACTCTCTATTAACTGCGAGGTTTCTTCGAAACCCCTCTTTACGCCTTGACTGGATTATTGTTTATCACTTCATCAGACTAAGCAATAATTGACCTCATATCTGCATACTTCCCCGAGGAGCCTGTAACCATTCTGAGATTTGATAACGCGGTGTTAGTAAGTCTGTCAGATTTCGCAACTAATTTCAGGGTTATATCCTTTATGTATTTTCTGATAGGTTTGTATTTAGATTCTTATCAGCTTACAGACCCGAACAATTAAACGCATTTATTTAAAAATGTTGGCAAATATTTCGTTCTTTATTTAAGAACTTCATCAGTGCTTATTTTTTATAAAATGCAGTAATTTTTTTGTTCCACAATAGTCATTAGTACATAAAATTGAATTAACAAATAAAAATAAAAAATTAAAACAATTAAAATTCACACATTAAAAATTATTCCCTGAGGATGTCATTCGTCCTAATGTACCATGGAACTTTGAAAAGTCTTCTCAGAGCCTGGCTTTGTGCAATTTCTAGCTGGTGAATAGTAGTGTTTGAAGCTTTGCTAAACGCTACACAACCATATAGAAGTGACGGACGAATTATTTGGTTATATATCACTTTCCTGTTCTTAGCATTAAGGTTTTCATTTCTGAATAGGTAACTAGTTGACGTAAAAGATAATTAATGAAAACTTTATTTTAGGAAAATATAAATTTTTCTACATATATTTCTCTGTCAAATTTTAGATGCTTAATTAAAACTTTAGTGGTAGCGCGGATGGTATGGAAAATAAGTCTCTATTCTTTATAGATAACACCAGGATGGTTGTACTTGTTATTTAGTACTAATTCACTATAAGAGTGTCCGCTATCAATCTTGAAATGATCTATCTAATATTGGTTTGATGGTAAAATTTAATATTTTGCTATATATATACCAATGTGGGGAAACTTATTCATAAATACTATCACAAAAAGCTTATATGTAGGTGTTCAGCGCTATACAAAACAAATCTATATTAAAATTTTGATACATATATTTGATATTTTCAATCTTTAAAATAATACCGTCACATATACTATAAAATAAAGCGTACATACATTTAAGTAAAAAATTAATGAGACCATAAATCTTTTCCATGCGCAAAATAAGCCACATTAAATAATAGAACATATATGTGCTTTGAGAAACATCCCAAAAAGTCGAACTTTTCGCAGTAATTAGAAATTAATGTATTTATTTATTTAATGAAGTGCTATGAGGGACACTCTTTCAATGCACTATCTTACATGGTAACTTACAACCTAACACTTTAGTACACTTTGACTTAGAAAAACCTGTTGCCAATTTTAAGGTTCGATAACTGTACAGTATATATGTTAAGTTATCTGTGATACTAACATACAGTGGCTCTCAACTTATTTCATCCAACACCAATTTAAAATTTTTTTACAATATTACTGAAAAACTATATCATCGATTGGAAATATTCAAATACCATTTTTAAGAAAAAATGTTTATTATTTAATTTAGAATATTTAAAAATACCGAAAATATTGTTTTAATAAATAATGATCATAAACTATAAAAATACTCCTATTTTAATGCCTCAGCTTATTTCATCCACAAAAAGTAATATCATTTGAGGCCAAAGTTAATACTTGGTATGATACCCTTTCGCTTTTATCACTTCGTCAAGTCTCTTTATCATTTCGTCAAATCTCTTCGGCATTGAACTTACAAGTTTTTGGGTTGTTTCTGGAGTCATCATCCACGCTTGTAAAATAGCCTTTTTAAATCTTCTTTGTTAGAAATAGTATATTGCCGAATATTTGTTCCAATATTTGTTCCAATAAATTTTCAATAACATTCTTGTCCGGGCTCTGGCACGGTGGTGTCATCAGATGTGTGCAGTTCCAAATCAATTAAGACTGTACGATACCGGTGTTATATTTTGGATCGTTGTCTTGGTAGAAGCGAAATGTTTTAGGAATTCCAAGTTTTACTGCCCTCTGGCGTAATTTTTTTTTCAAAACGTTAAGGTACATTGTTTTGTCCATGTTACCATCAATCAACTCCAGATTCCCAAAGCCGGCGGCTGACATATAGACTCAAACCATAACACTTCTGCCGCCATGCTTTACTGTAGCTTTTAAATGTTCTTTTTTGAGCTCAGTATTAGGTTTCCGCCACACGTAAGTAATGCCATCTAAGCTAGAAATATTGAATTTAGACTCGTCTGAGAATATGACGCTGTTCCAGAAGTCTAATTTTTTGTGGTTAAGCCGATTGCTCTGATTTTTTTTTGCTTATGAAGGGTTTTTTTTTAGCTGCTCGACCATTAAAGTGGGAGTGTCTAGTTCTAATTTTGGATTCCTCTTTGGCGATGAAATAAGCTGTGAACTATAATTCAGTTACACGATCGGGGTTTTCTCCTTTGAGCGAAACAAAAACAAATTGTATGTACTTTGTTTTATTTATTATGTTCAATAGGCGTGCCTTTCCTTACTTACATTAAAAACTTAATTGTTTTCTAATTCATTTTCAAGATACAGTGTTTTAAAAATTTAAATGAATGTGAAAAGAGGATGAATTAAACTGAGAGCCTCTGTATATTCTGTAAAAGTGAAGTAAGCCAACATCAGACCATTGCTTAGGGTGATTTCATAGCGCTGAATTTTGCAACTATTAAATATTTTTTGTTCTAACTTTATTTTTTGGGGGAAATGGAGTGAGCATACAAGGTAGAGTGTTTGATTGCATTTAATTTGGAAATGCCAGTACGATCCTTGTCATTCGTATCTCCAAGTTGATACACAGCCTCCACGTGGCACTCTCTAATTAGTTGCAGTTGTCCGTGCGTAGTGAACTAATATGTGAAGTGAAAGCTTCGTCATAGATATATGAGGCTTTGCGTTGGACTTGAAACTGGCTATGTAATAACTGCCTTTAGTCTAAAGACATGCCTTTTTATTTCCACTTATAAACGATAATGTCGACTTAGGGCTATATGCATACGTCTAGCAAGTTGCAAAACTTGTTATTTACAGTCCAGGAGATCCAGGAGATAACCAGGAGATCCTTTTCTTGAAGCTTCATTAGTTTTTTCATTTTACTCAATACGATGCTGGGGCGCAAATAAGGAAATAAAAATTTCGAAAACCAAAAAGTATGTTCTCTTAAACTATTCAGTAATGTTATTAATAAATGTTAAAAAGCCTTAATATAAAAAATATCTATTAAATAATGAATTTGCCACTAATGCTTGCAGATAGTTTATGAGAGAGGAGCATTTGCTAACTGATTTTATATTCTCGAATCGCAAATCGCAAATCGAAGTATCTTTACAAGATAAAATTTCAATTATTTTTAAAGTAACTTTAAGATACATTTATTTTGTTTACTTACAAGCTAATGATTTAATATTACATATTGTGTTTATTTTAAAAGCATCGCTTTTCATTAAATATTCTGTAACACTTAAATGTATTTTATCAAAAATTAGAAAAAAAAATTAAGTGAAAAATTTCAAAATATATGTTAGTAAATCATACACAAGATCAGACTCGTATATATGTAACTATACTTTGTATTTTATGCTTTAGTTAATGATTTTCTCTTATTTTCACTCTTTATAAAAAGGTTGACAAACAAATTTTATTTTTAATAGAGATTTTTTTTATAAATATTTCTGGTACTATCTTTTGTTGTTTAGTATTGTAGTATGTATTTAGTATAAAAGTGATTTATATTTCGTAGGAAAGAATTTTATATTTTTTATTCTTTAAAATAAATATTTTCTAAGTCGCCAGTGTAAAAACGACATCTAAAACTCAAAGCCATTTTTAGCGCATTCAAACAATTTCTAATATATTTTTCAACTAATGCAGAAATTTCAATACCTTATCATAAAAAGTCGCTCATCTCAACAAGATTAGATTATAACTTTTAAATTTTATTGTTAACAGAAATGAAATAAATATAATTATAAGTATAACTTTAATTTTGTTGGCATTATTTACATTGAATTTAAATTATCTTGAAATTTTATTTACTTAGAATTTTAGGTTTTTAGTACGTTGCATGGTTTGCTTTTTGGTTTAGATAAAGATATGTCGCTACAGAATTTAGTTTTATAATATTGAACATGTGCTATATCTCTTAATTTTAACAATAATATTTGTATTACATATTTGAGTAGCCGTATTATTAAATAAAAACAATGCTACTTATAACTTAAGATACTTTTAGCAGTTAAAAATATATTGAAATTGTTGATCGATTTTATACTTGAAATGAAATGCATAGTAACCAAAAATTTAGAATTAACTTATATAGTAATAATTAGATGAACTGAAAATAGTTTTAATTTAAGTGGAATCCTTTTTCTTTAGTAGCCGTTAATAAACGTTCTTTCATAATTTCTTCGGTTGGATAATCTGGTAACTTCAAATAATGTACACAAGTGTTTACTGAAGGATAACTGCCTTCGCCTGCGTCCACTTTTCGTACCACCGTTAGACGGGGATGCAAATTTACTAAACCACCTGGTGGTAAACTACTACAACCTGTAGTAAATTGTAAGAATGCCTTTCGTTCTGGACCAGTCATACTCATTAATACATTAACAAAACGTAAAAATCCAGGGCTGAAAAAGGTAAAAATAAGTTATTAAATTTTAACTCCATTCAAATTATACAAGTTAAATTAATAATAAAACTTAAAACAATAAACACATTTATATAAATATTATTATATATATAAGAAAAATTCTTTTTTTATATAAGAAAAATCTTACTCATATATAAGAAAAATCCAACTTATATATAAGAAAAATCCAATTCATATATAAGAAAAGTCCAACTCATATATGAGAAACATCCAATTAATATATAAGAAAAATCCAACTAATATATAAGAAAAATCTTCCCATATATACGAAAAATCTTCCTTATATATATATACATCCAGGCATAAAAAATGCTAATTAATTTTTTAATGGAATCAGAAAGATTTTTTTTCGCAATTTTTTTTTCTATTTTAATTTTTAATATTTCCTCGTTTATTTTGAGGTATTAAGATTATCTTGAAAAGTTGCAATTATACAAATGATAAATTTAATTAATCTTTTTCAAATGATTCTCATAAAAAAAAAGATATCAGTTATCCTTAATAAATTAATTTATGTAATTTTTTTATAATCAAAAATTGATTCGGTGTGCAATTCTATATTACCATGTCAATTAAGTCAAAAAAACACTAGTCTATTATCTATTATATTGTGTTAACTATCATACAATTTAAAAAATTTAAAAAAAAAAAAAAAAGACAATTTGTACCTGTCTTTATTGTACCCAAGTTTAGGTTCTGTATAATTCAGTAAATCATCTCGTGTCCATTGTGGATGTTGTTCACCACAAATCATCAAACGTGCCTCCGTAGGACTAAATGCCGCTAACTTATTTAATGGAAAAACTTCACAAAAACCACGATGAAACGCATCTAACTGCTTTGCAATGCCATCTTGAAGAATAAAACTGATCAAAGTATCGCAGTATTCCTCTAAATTGTCTATGTTCACATCAATATTAGCTCCATTCGGAATTAGTTCCATACTATTTAAACCATATATGTGTGAACCGGGTAAATATGTAAATGTCAAGGCAAGATCTTCTAAATCAACTTCAGCATTAAGTTTGGTACGCAACTTAAGTGCATGAATTTGTTCATTCTTTTCTTCGTTAGTTAAATTAACTTCACATTCAATAGCTTGTTTGCGGGATAATAGTTCTTGTAGTTCCTTAATAAACTCATATCGTAATGGATCAATTTCTAATAAATTTTCGTACGTTAGCACGCCATCGTACCAGCTTCTTTGATTATAATCAATACTAAGTAATTTTGAGCAAGTATCTGCTAATTCAGAGTCTTCTGATATTACAGAAGTTGCCATAAGGTCTTCAGTTGCAGTAGTACTTTGTATTTGGTGTACTCCATTTGACAGGACTTTATTATGACAAAGCAGCTTTAGGAACGCATTAGATAAAGGTAAGTCAACTAGTCGCATGTCTTGCAAAACTTTGGCAATAAACACGCCAAGGAACCAAAAATATTTAGATACATGATCACATATTTCAGACTGCTGAGGAAGTGGTGCTGGAAACAATCCATGTTCTCTGCGATTAACATAATAACCAACAGGCTTGACTTCGCTCTGATAATCGGGCGATTCTCCGCTTCCAACTTCAGGCATTATTAAAAATTCTTCGCCATTTTCATCGTCACACAGCCACATACACAAGTCTTTGCGTTGAATTTCAGAGGCAACCTAAACCAATGACAAGACAAGAAAAAAAAAATATATATACATATATTATCTATTTCTAAATAAAGAATGAGTTACTTACAAGTGCATAAAACTCAAGAGTTGGTCCTAAGCCGGTACCCTCCTCACCAACAAACTCAACTTCAAGCACGGATTTACGGTTACAATGAACCTTCATCACTTGTATTGCCCATTCAAGCAATTTATCAGTGCGTGGTACTTTAACGCGTTCGTGTTTCAATCGACCAACACGGAACTCATGGTGTTCTTCACGTCGTGGGCTTAAACCAGGCATACGTGTGCGTTCTATTGTAACATCACGTTGAGATTGCAAACAGACAATACTGCGTGATGCACCAAAAGCTGTAAAATTAAAATAGGCTTGGCGAGTTTCGAACGGAAATAGGAAGGGGCATGATTGATTGAGATCTTCGCACCAATTAGGTAATGCGTTGCTTGCGAGAACCAAAGGATCCTGTATTTGTTGTTGTAGCTTATTAGTGAGCTTTTTACTCATAAATGCTTCTGGCGGCAGCACAGCTTCGATACCCAATAAGTCGTTACTGTCTCTTTGGTTAAGTGCATTTAGTTGACTTAATAATTGCAGTACATCATCTACAGTACACGTCACGTTTTCAGATGTTGTAAATTCACCACGCATTGGTGAGTTAGGAGATAAAGTGGAAGCACCACTCTTAGAAGAAATTATCGGTGTATTAGGTCCATCATCGGCATCAGTATTAGCTGTTTCCTGGGGTAAAATTTCACGATATACAATAGTGTATGTTGGTTCCCAAGCTTTACGGAATTTCTCAGTTTTGGTTAATTGAGATGACTGAAGCAATTCCTGGACTGCTCGAAATATGGTCCAATCATTTTGTGACAGTTCAATTTCAACTTCTGGTACTCCTCCAATACCAGGACCACGTAAAGTTAACGCAAGAATTGGTTGCTGAATTGTGGTTTGCTCATTTGCACGTGGCGCAGTTGCGCTGGTGCCTGGGACAGGTATTTCTAAATCAGATGTTTGATTAACATTTGTACGTCCAGGTCGAGGATCAAACGCAGGAATTAAAGCTGAAAACTGTCGTTTTAAAACGAACTCATCATCCCAAGACTTACGTTTTCCCACATTTGCTAAACGATTTTCAAGAGTTTCATCATCCATAAATGTAAGTAAATTCCGTGATACCATTACTTGTAACAAAGTATTCTGTAAAAATATTATTGTTAGAATATACGAGATATTATGATATGTATTTTCTCTTTGTTAAAAAAGTACGAATTGTGAAAAGGAGTTATGGACGAGTTAGCTCTAAAATTATTAGTTTTTTCTGTATTGTTTTGTCGAAGCAACATATATTTTTTTCAATATTGAATTGATTGGTAGCTTCACTAATCAAATGTTAGTGATCAAACATGAAATAATAAGGTCACCTACCACCAATGTTTTTCCATCGATGGTACCTTTTTATAATTCATGATTTTACAAAATATGTCTTTGTTTTTTTTTTTTTGGTTTTATCAACTTATAATTATATATTTTTCAACGTGCTAATTGGTCAATTGTTTTAACAAAATATATAAAGAATATATTTCATTGCCACCAATATTTCGATTATAGCCTATAGACATTTTAAGTGTACTGATACAATACAAATCTCTATAATATAGCAACAAATTCTATACATAGAACAATAACAATCAAATTGCAAACACTTATATGCAGGAATTATATATTTATCCGGAAAAATATTTATTTATGGAAAAATATTTCCATTTATTTGCCTGTCGAAAGTTTATCGATTATTTTATTTTGTTGTTTTTACCGACTTAAATTTTTTTTATTATATCCGTTTGCCTTAATATATTTTATTAACACGCCTGAGTGAGATAAAGTATACGATATGAACTTACACCAACTTCTTCATATTCATCTTCATTTTCCTCATCGTCGTTGTCTTCATCCATGTCGTCGTCATCATCCATATCACCAAGTAGTGTCGGAGCACGACAACTCTCAAGAAAATCTTCCAATGAAACTTGTTCACTATCGCTTGAAGTAGATGTCAAACTCATGGTGAGAGCAGGATTAATTGAAGCATGAACTTGCTGGCTAGTCGCACTTGCTCCGGTGTTCGAACCACCTGCCGCTACGGTTGTATTTGCTAAAAGAAAAAAATACATATTCACATATGCCTATATAATCCTCTCTACTATAATAGCTCTACTTACATGAATTGTTAGACGATAAACTTGGATAACTTTGAGCAGTGCTTAGTAATCCCGAATGAAAATTGCTAGATAATGCTAATTTCACTAAGCTCGTCACTGAATTTGGTCCACGTGGAAAGAATGAACACGTTCCAGAATTTTGATTATTTCGTTCGTTACTATTCATGTTGCTATTAATCATTTGGTTGTTTTGTATAGTTGTGCCTTGCGAAGTACGTCTTCGAGCCATTGCTGCAAATGTTTCTAAAAGTCCGCTATGTGCAGACGGTTCTGTTTGTGATGGTGTTTCTGAAGCTGAGCTAGTTGTAAGATTTGGTACACTTACACTCATTTGATTGGAGACGGAAACACTGACATTAGTACCAGAAAGTGAAGTTGCTGTCGATACAGCAATATCTGAATTACTTTGTTGTGGTGTGTCTGCTGAATGCACTAAAGTTGTTGGAGCCAAAATAACGTTTGTAGCTAAAGATTGTTTTTTACGAGATTCTGTTTGTTCACGCATTGCATCGGAGCAAGAAGGTACTCCGTCTTTGTAGTCATCATGAGAATTTAATTTATTCATATTTGTTCTTTTTATTGACTGATGTACAGATGCACTTATACTTCTCAATGTATCAGTCGACACACTTTCCAATGAAGTAAGGCTATCAGTTTCAGATAGAGTACTCGTTTGCTCTACTTCAGCTTTTGGTGCTGATAATTTTACACTTGGCAATGGTAAAATTTCAGATGAAAGTAAATTGTTGGTTGTGTTGCGTATCATGTCTACACCATCCCGCATTTTATCGATCATATCTATGGTATCTGAAGAGAATTGGTTTACACGTTGACTTGCAGAATTTGATCTTAAATTCACAAGCAATCCTTTACTCAAACTATTGACACTGTTATTAGCGTTCATTTTATTGTTAGCTTCTATGTTTGTTGACTTAGTTTCATCACCTTGTGAAACTTTCCGTATTAAACTAGCGGTCGAAGTGGTTGTAGTAGTTGGTACAGTGGAAGTTGCCGAAATACTTGAGGCTAACGAGCCAAATATAAAGCTTAAACCGTTTTTAGAATTGTTTGAACTGCTAATAGAAATGTCGGATGATATGCTTACATTAGAAGAAGATGTTGCAATATCGTTTAGAGTTTGATTTTCAGTAATTGTAGCCAAATCCGGAGCATTAGTATTGATGGCTTGCATTGAATTGTTAATTGCTGACAAGTCAGATATATTTTCCCGATCACGTACCAAAGTTGAAGACATTACGCAACCTGTTGAATGGCCACCCTTGACATTCGTTTGGCTATCTTCTTTGATGCCTGATGAAGAAGTATTTGTTAGGATTTGGGACTTTGCAGATGAGAAGACATTTTCGGTAATAGCTTCAACAGCTTGTTTCCATGCTAAATTATCAGCTGAGGCTGCTTGATCTGTTGGTCCATCAGTATTACGATTTATTTCAGTTGCTTCCGGTAATGAGGGAGTGGAACTAGATTTTCGTGATGTTAACGTAACTGATTTTTCTTTTTTATTGATACTTATGCCAGAGCTACTGCTGTTTGCAGAAGTAGATGTAGTGATTGAAGTGGTGGATGGAGTTATAGAATTACCACCCTCTAAAACTGATAAATTGTCACAATTGGCTAATTTTATATCATATTTTCCTTCAGCGCCCATACGATAAGAATTACGAACACCATGATCCCATTTCACATCAATCCAACCATTGTGAATGTCACCAGTAACAGTACCTTCACATAATCCATCTTGGTCATCCCAACGCCAATCAACACCTCGTACGACACGAGCTCCTGTAGTTATGTGTTTAAGTTGTGCTCGAATTTGACGGCGTTCTCTTCGTATTTTGGCTTCAGCTTCTTTAGCACCTTTACCAATATCTTCGCAAACACTGACAATTCGTCCATAAATTTCTAAACCACTTAAACTAAGGTAGTGTGTTTGACCAGATGCGTTTCGTCCATTTTGTTGTATGCGTATATGGCGAAAGCCTTGATTTTCATCTGGTGCGCAAACAATTGGCCATGTAGATGTGCTACCAGGTTCAACCAAACTCTTATCATCAGTATGAGTTACCAGTGTTGTCCAAGTAACACCATCCTTAGATCCTTGAAGCATCCAATTTCGAAGTGCTGAACGACCATATCCTCGTGCATGTCGCAGGGTATAAGCGTTTGGAATAATGTAAACTCCTAAATCAATAGCAAACCATGCTTTTTTGTTGTCCTTAGTGTGACAATTTACAGAAATCGAATCACGTGATAAAATATCTTCCAACTTGCCATAAGGTAATGTTTTGCCTTCTGAACTTGTAATTTGTACGAGACCGTATTGTGCCGGATTGACCCAATCGCTTGTTTTGCCATTGGATCCAATAAAATATATTAATCCATCTTCATCAAAATCAAAGTGATGCTTAAATACCATACCTTGTTTATGCTCACGTAGTTTCTTTAAATATAGGAAAGTAGATCTATCCATATCGTACCATTGTTTTGCTACCATTTTCAGCAAATATTTTGACAACTGTCCAATGGTGGCTAATGGTTCCATTTTTAATGTACGACCAGTGCGATCAAAAAGTGATGTTTCACATGCTGCTCTTTCAAGTCGAAAACGTAAACGCTTAGTTAGTATCTGGAGACCGTAACCAGTACCAGGCGCATCATAAACATAAACAGGCAACTTTTCAGTACTTTCTAAAACGGCTACCAGTTTTTGTACCAAAATGTTTGCGGTTGTCTTATTAATATCTTCCTCATCTCTATCCTTAAGCATACATTGCTTAAATATTGAAATTCGTTGTTTTTGCAATTTATTTATTTTACTACGTGACAATCCATTATCCCAATAGTTTTTGGATAGTACAGCTACCAAAGCTTGTACTAATCCAGAAGAGTGCATTTCAAATGCACTAACCACGCCATCTTCTCGTAACAATTGACCCAGTTGATTTAATGAACTACGTAATTTTTCCTGCCAATTCGTTTGGTTACCCATTCGTTGCTCTTCGAGTGCAATTTCGATTTCTTTCACAATCGATGTCAATTTCGCCACAGCACCCCGTGGTACTAATTGAGCAGCCTTAAAGTACTTATTGTATATTTCCCGTGCAATTGTTTTAACTTGTGAACGTTGAACTTCAGTTTTGGTTTTGATTTTTTTCTTCTTATTGATCGACCAACCGGAAGCAAAATCTGGACCAAGTGTAGTTTCAGCTGTAAATGTATGCTTCGTGCCTCGATTGCTTTCGAAAATGAAACCTGGCAAGTCATCTTGCAATATAGTTACCTGATGACCTTCGGTATTATGTATTTGTAATTGATTTGGTTTTTGAGATTGGAGAACCCAATTGCCAACAACCAACCGCAAAACGCTAACTGTTGGTAGTATAGGTTGTGATGATGTGCCCGCGCGTACCGCTGAACGTGCACGAATTAATTTTTCCAAAAACTCACCACGATTTTCTAAATAAATATAAAAACGTTTACTCTACTTAAAAAATCAACATATCACATATTGTTTGTTTTTATGTTTTGGTTTATTTAATATCCATATGTAGACCGGTTTTTTATTTTCAATATAGTGCACAAAAAAAAATTGTCTTTTATATATATTACGACTTGTATTATTTTAAAAAAATTTCATTTTTTTAATTCTTTTTGAAATACCTTACCCTACTTATTTTTTACCATGTACTGAGATTAACGCTTCAAAGTGCTTAAACAGTATTATGTCTTAATATAAATAATATAATAGAATTCAATCGTTTAGATCAAACCTTTTTCAAAGCTACAGCTAATCAACCTGTTCGTACCGCTAATCAACCTATTTGTACCGTTAATCAACCTATTTGTACCGCTAATCAACCTATTTGTACAGCTAATCAACCTGTTCGTACAGCTAATCAACCTGTTCGTACAACTAATCAACTTGTTCGTACAGCTAATCAACCTGTTCGTACAGCTAATCAACCTGTTCGAACAGCTAATCAACCTGTTCGTACCGCTTTGTAAGAAACTTTAAGAGAAAAATTGAAGTACAAGTGATCAAAAACTACAAAGATGGTTTTTAAGAATTCTACTTTAACGGAACACTAAAAGTGTTATGATATACAGTCATACTTCCATAACTCGAAGTCCAATTTTGCAAAGAAAAGGTTCGAATTATGAAGACTTCGAGTTAGAGAATTTTTTTATTCTTTTTTTATTTTTGAAAGAAACTAGAATTACATTTTAAGATATTTATTTATTTGCAATCAAATAAAGAACGAAGTTATAGTCAGGTAAAATATTTAGATATTAAGGTTTGGGACTTTAATTTTTTTTCTTATATTCGGTAAAATGAGATTCCACTTTATTCATACTCTTATAGTGATCATCAGTTGTAGTATGATTCGTTTGCAAATATAAATTCAGAATATTAAAAGAGTCTTCTACTTCATTCTTGGAAGGCTGATAAACAATTACATCCACCGAACCATCATCACTTTCCGTTGCGCTTAGAATTGGATTCAGTAATCTAGAGCTATAGTGCTCAATAATATCGTTATCTGTAGGAAAGCTTGATTTACAAATTTCATTGTCACGCTCAATACAATCGTTAAGAGTAACATTGGAAGTTATTTTATTTACTTTAAATAGCGCTACCAGCGACTGGCATTTGCGCAAAGAAGCAACATAAGAAAGAAAAAATTAAACATGTGGTTTGGAAAAAGGGACTTCACCTAACAGCAAAATGTATTCATACTTAAAACAAAAATTCGACTAATAGAATGCACTTTCCCATATTCCTATCGGCACGAAACAAAATTTTTGTTCAAGTTATGGAAGTTTGACTGTATATAATTTACAAGGGTTCTTTTATATTTATTTTGTTATAACTATGTGTGTAAGAAAGGGCTGAACATGCATAGAACATTTCAGACAAGAAATAAAAAGAAAAGTTCTCAGGTATGGACTAAGGCAAGTAAAGAAAATGTTTCCATTACTTAATATGCTTACTAGTAGATAATTTAATATATTAATAAATCAATTATTAGTTCCTTTAATTGAAAAGAAACCAATAGGACCTCAATGCAATATTGCATAATTTATGGCACTTAAAAGATTATGATGTTCTCACGAAATGGTCTCATGCATCTCTATAATTAACCCTGCTCTATTATACAAACTGCTGCAGTAAAAAATGAAACTTTATTAAACAAATATGTTATAATTAGTATATATACATATAATAAATATGTATATATATTTTACTTAATATATTACACATGTGTTGTCAGTCAACCGGTCTACATTTTTATATTGCAAAGTTAGTGAAATTTTGAATGTTAAGAGCAGACAAACTATATACAATTTAATATAAATATAAAGATAAAATGCTTATATAGTACCTTTCCAAGGATGTACATGTATCTCAAAAAAAATTTCTAATTGTCCTAAGCATTTACGTTTATGTACAACATTTGTTATGTTTCTTAAAAATTGCTTTATTTTAAAGTCAAGATATGCATTAAAGGTAATGATTATAGATGATAACTACATGAAAGTCATAAATTTATGTATCTACAATAGACAGTGAAAGCTCTTTACAGTGGATAACAATGAAACTAGCAATTCTGGGCGCTTTAAGTAGATGAATTGCACGATTAAGAGACATGTCCATTTATGAGAAACTCTTTTTTTTTTTAATTTTTTTCAAATTTTACATTTTTCTGGCTATCCATATTTAAAGTTTTCACTGTATATAAAAAAGTCAACAATAATATATCAACAAAATTATATTAAATCTTAGCACTAATAATTCTGTTGCTTGACTTTTTTCAGAACTATTTCAGTTTTGTAATAAATTTTAGAATGCATTTCTTGACTTGGAAAATTGCAAATTAATTATGAATTGCTAATTTATTATTTATATGCAAAATAAGTTGTATTCTATAACTTATTGCTTCAACTAATTGTCCCTTGTGTGCACATGTGATATAGCATTGCCAAAAATATTGTTAATATGCGAAAAGTTTGTGTGAAAAAAATTTTTTAAATTTTTTAATACTAAAAATTTAGTGTTTAAACAGCGTTGTTACTTATTTAGACGATAAATGAAAATAATTTATTTAAAAAAAAATTCTTATACTAACAGAAATGCTGAGGTGATACTTTGTTTCAAAAAAAAAAAAGTTTTTTTTTTAAAAATTGCAAAATGTTAAATAATATAAGTTTATTTGGCAAATTTTTGAACTTGAAGTTAATTTGTATTTTAATAAAAAAAACAAAAAAACTGAAACAATATTTAAAAAAAAACTAATTAATTAAATAACAAATCAATTTATTTCTTTGCAATTCATTTGAATGTGATTTTAATAATCTTGTATACACCAAGTATTAATGTTTGACTGCTACTCGTATTGCTAATATTTACCAAAAATATAATAGAGGTAAGCAAAATTTTGAACTCTTGGTAACCGTCAAGTTTTTACTCTTTTAAGCACCTATTGTTATTCGACAAAGTTATCATTACCTACCGGAAAACTGGATCGATGTTTGATGTTGAACACAATAAAATGTATATAAACTATTTTATCACTTTGTTAATGTAATTTTTTAAATTCTTTCAATAATTACAATTTTTTTTTTTGTTAATATACACTTACACTTATCGTTCTACTAATAACGAACACTAAAAAATTAAAATAATTTTCCATCGAGCAACTACTATGGGTACTACTACAACACAATGTTTGAATCTATCTTAAATTTCAGTGTAATCCCTATCAGAAAGTCTCGAAAATTTAACATATGTTAAAGATAATCTTAGTTTATTGAAAAATTCATATTGTGAAAGTACAATATTACATGTAATTTAATGTAAGCCATATAGTATAAGCTAAGTCTGTATAAAGTGATCTATAAATGTATCTCCATTTCATTAGGCAAAATATTACCATAAAAACCTTCTAAAATTTATTAAAATGAAGACAATCTTATTTTTTGAAAATCTCCATAATGTAAAAGTGCAAAATATGATTTACCACGAACACTAATTAAGAATTATTTATATATAAAAATTATCCATTTTATGGTTTTGATTTGGCTATTTTATTTTAGTGACAGACGTCAAACATAACTGTCATCCACGTCATTATCTATTTAGTGAAGGGTTTGCAATTTACAATTTGGGTCATTTAATAACACGAAACACGTTAAAATTATAAAATCTTACTACAAAAATGGTGATTCCTTAGTAGTCGTTTGTCGTTTAGTACATATGCCAGTAAAATAAATTTTCCTGTGTGGAGCAGTTTTAACGACTATTATCTCCATATATACTATATCACTATATGATTTGTCATTTAGTGCAGAGGGGTTATATGTCCGTACTTTTTAAAAAATAAGAAATGTGTTACACAATACGCTAATTCGGATAGCTATTGTAAAATATAAACGTGGAAGATGTGTAACTTAATAGGGTGCTTTTACAAGACACACAATACTTCTTGTTCTGACTTTGTTGGTCGAGAAAATTCCCGAAAATGTAATATTACGCGTGTATCGTATTATCGTAATCGTATCGTGTAATCGATTATAATCGCATCGTGTAATGTTGTTGTTGTTGTTGTTGTAATCCGCCATGTCAACAAACACATACCTGTTTGTGAAGTCCCTTTGGGGGTGGTTGAACGGCGCTTAGTCGTCTTCGACGAGTGGCTCTGGGACGTAGACCCAGCCGTTCTTGGAACCGCATCGTGTAATCGATTATAATCGTATCGTATAATCGTTTTTAATTGTATCGTATAAGCGATTATAATCGTATCGCATAATCGATTATATTCATATCGTATAATTGTTTTTAATCGTATCGTATAAGCGATTATAATCGTATCGTATAACCGTTTTAAATCGTATCGTACAATTTATATAATTGTATCATATAATCTAATCGATTTGTTGTCACTGGATTTTTTTTTTCTTTAGAGTTAGTCAAAGCACCATGCTGATGCGAAAGATCTTGTCTAAGATCGAAAATTACCTCGGAAAAAATTCAGTACTTAAAGATATGACATGGTGAACATTTGAATGATATTATATTTTCTTAATAGAAATGGAAATATATTTCTTAATGGAAATGTCAGTGAAACACAAATTCAAACGAGATCACAATTAGGACTATATTTTATTTACGTTTACTGTCAGAACCACAAAATGGATACCTTCGAATAAATCAAAAACTTTTGTGTCTTTCTGTTAATTTGAATTCTAAATGTTTAAACTATAAACTTTAACTTGACCTATTTTAAATAAAATTTTAAAGGTTTTTTCCAAATCTCCAAATATCCAAATCTCTAAATGAATCCTTGTTGTGCATGTTTAATAAATGATAAATGTGTGTGTTTTATATTTTATAGATTTGTTTTATTAGTAAAGTTAAGATACATAGAATTCATAAACTTAACAGTTTAAAAAACATTATTCAAATAAATACAATCAAAACAACATTAACCATCAAAAATAAATTAAAAAACTACAATACAAAGAATAAACAATTAAACAAAAGGTTAAACACATAAACATGATATGAAATTAATGAAAAGCGTTTAAACAAAAAAAAAAAACTTACTCTCACCTTCTGTTGAGCTTGTATCCACGGGTGGACTTTTTCCTATGGCGTAAAAATATGTGTAATGGTTATGAATTAAAACAAAATTAAAATAAAAAATAAATACAAATATTTTTAAATAAATTAACCCAATAATTTACTTCTCTGCTAAGCAGTTATAAAATACCAATCAGTTTAGTAATGCAATTTTCGCATATTGCCATCGTTATCGTTATATACCCAATTATTAAAATCTTATATTAGATTACAAGAAAAGTAACATATACATATTTGAACTCGGACCGTTTAGTTTAGTACAAAAAAAAAAAAAAAAGAAAAATTATAATATAGTAGAACATGCACCGTATTTCCCACATTAACATTATAATATTATAATATTGTATTGCATTTACCGGAAGTAAAATGCATTTGCATCACAAAGTGGAGATTATTAATCATAACAAAAAATGGTACAAGGAATTAGTTTTGTTACTTTTCTTGTGTAATAACTACAATAAATATGTACGGCTCTCCTATACCCTTAAGGGAGTAATTATCTTAAGAAATTATATTTACAATAGTAAGTAGTATTATGAAAGATATAAGTTATAGAAATTTCCAATATTTTATGATTAAAAGCTAGTATCTATAGAAAAAATTTATAATTATGTTAATATTTTATCATTATTTTTACCTGAGCTATCATTTCCATTTTCAGGACTACCGCTTGAATACATGGTAGCCAATTTTCCATCCAGTATAAATCGAAACCAGCCATTGGAACCATTTGATAATTCCAATGCTGCAGCATCTGACCAAACATATAAACAATCACGGCCACGACATATGCTCCACTCACGCCAATGGTAAGCTTTGCCTTGTAGGATTTCTTTAGCATCATCCATTGGATCATCTAGTGGTAAAATATATATATCAAAAAAAGAGAAATATATGTGGTGCATACCTGTACTTTGTTGTGGTTGTTCACTTGAGGAACTAGTAGTAGCATGTTCTTCATTCGTTGTATTCGTAATAGTATTCGCGCTATGTAATGATGTTATTGTTGAAGATAAATCAATTTCCACATTAGAGTCCATTAGACTTTGGACCTTCGAAAATACTCCTAAGCGCGCAAATTGATCAAGAAATTCATCCTGAGTTTTTAACATAAGTTCTTCAATAATAGTTAAGACAACAAGATGACCGTCGTCATCATCCTAAATAAAAAACAAAAACAAAAAAAGAAAAACATATCATTAAATCATCTTCTCCGAGCTTACGTGGTAAGTAAAGATACCACCAATAGAAATCTTAGTCGTACTATATTTAATTAAAAAAAAAATAATAATGCTTACTAATCATATAGATAGTATGGTTTTAGATTTTTAAGATTAATATATGTATTTTGTTAATGATATTAATACAAATTATCATCTAGTCATATAGATACTTAACACACAATTAAATTAAATAATTTAAATTTAATTATTTTATTTGAATTTAAAAAATTATTGGTTGTTATTATTCATCAAGTGAAATATATAAGCGGCGAGACCAGATGGAATAATATATTACTAACACTAATCTACAGACCTGCAAAAAGTAGAATGAATTCATAATTCATTAATTCTATTATATCGCTGATAATAGAATAGAAAAAACAAGGAATTAACTATTTTCTTCACTTTTAGTTACTTAAATAAGGTGTTCAATTAAATTAATTATAAACCATTGTATTATTTCTTATCATAAAAAATTAAAATACTTGCATTGGTGTTATTATTTTGCACACGTCTATATATATATATATATAATGTAATAAACATTTATCTTATAAATTTTATTTCTTCTGGCGCTAAATTGTAACAAGCCTATCCATCCCTAATGTGTAACTATAATTTTTTTTCAAATTTTAAGACATTAAAACATTTAAGTATACAAGTAATACTAACTATATTATAATTAGTGAATATTAAACAGTTTCTATTTTAAATTTTTTAAACATTTTTTTAAACAAATTCAGTTTATTTTCCATCTGTATCTGCATACATAATACTAGTATGAAAAAGCTAAAAATCAACATACTACTCAAAAACCCAGCCTTGTATATATCTAATTATTATATATATATATACATAATAATTACATACAGAACTATATAAATAAACTCTATTAGTATTAATTATAAATATATTTACACAGACTATATTTATATTATTATATTCTTACCTCATTATCTAGGACACTGGCAACTACCTCGACTAACAGTGTACCTAAGTTTTGTCCATTTTGTCCATTTTTATTTACGCAAATTACGTCCAATTTAGGTTGTTCACATAATCCTTTTAATATAGATGCGTGTGCATATTGGACTAACTTTTTTATGAGACCCAAACTTGCACGACGTACACTGCTTAGCATTGTGCTTTGAAAAGTACGACAAAATACTGGTAAAAAGAATTTAAGATATACCGGTGCCATTTCAGGGTCACCACGAGGTTCAACTGGTGTTCCATCATCATTGCGATTTTTATTGACAAGAGAATGACCTGCTGCCATCCATTCGCCTGGTGATTGCAATATAGCTGCAACTTCTCTGTGACCATCATCAGAACGCTCTCGAGCTTTATCCAATGGTGTTTTGCCATCCTCATCTCTAAGATCTGGGTAAGCACCGTATTTAAGTAAAACTTTTGCGATACCCGGACGTCCAAAACAAGCAGCATAATGTAATGAAGAACTGCGTTGGCCTTTGTTAACGTCAGCTCCTTTCTCGCATAAGTACTCAACCATTTCAAGTGTGCCGAATGCTGATGCCCAATTTAATAATGTTTGTCCAACATCATCCATACAATTAACATCTATATTACCAGACTCAATTGCTTCTTGTAATGCATCAGTATCTTTTGATCGTATGCAGTCAATTAACTGACGATGTGTACGTTCTACAGCATTATCTGCTCTACGCACACGTGATGTTAATTGACCCTGTGCGTTTGTAGTACTCGAACGTGTCAACGCTTGACGTCCTTCAAACAAAAGTAACAATAGTAAATCAGCGAATCGCATACAGTCTAGTATGCAACGCTCATCGCCTTTAAGTGCTCGCTCTAAAGCGTCTGGTAATTGAGAACGTAATACTTCATGTGTAATAGTAGCTGAGCCACGGCATAGTGTAGATAACAAAGAAATAGTTGTAGAAATCGATTGGGAAGAGCGTTGGGTATCTGATGTTTGAGATTTTCCAGGTGTGGAAATTGCTATATTCTCACTTATTCCAGTAGAAGTGGTAGGACCTGTATTTGTAGGAGTAGTGCCTCCAACAGTGCTCGTTGTGTTATTATTTTGACCAGCTGCATTCCCCAAACGCTTTAATAGTTCCGTCACAAGACCATATTCAGCAAGCGGAGCTGGATCAACCCATTTGCGCGTAAAACGATCAGCTACTGACGCAAAGCATTTTAAGGCACCATCTGAGACCATGGGATCTTCATGTTGTAGTAAAGTACTGAGACTTTCAACGCAGTCTTGTATGCAGGGTGTATTAGGTTCAACTTTTGTGCAAAGGCGTGATACAACTGCCATAGCTGAATGCAGTGTGTCTTTATGTACTTGTGATCCACAGTCACGTATAAACGACAAAACACAATTGAGGCCACCCCCTTCAAAAACTGCACCTGCTTCTCGGGTGCACACCAATTCTAATACTTTAATACACTGTTCGGCCAAATCGCGAGAAGTACGTGATGTTAGATCTGCAACTACTAATCGATTGCATATTGCTTTAATGGCACCATCAATTGCAACAATACGACGTGTGCATTCTGCTGAGACATCCAAATAATAAGTTATCGCTCGCGCTGTTACTTCCAAAACATTTTCTGGCGCTAATTCATCTAGAAAAATTTTGCACAAAGCAGGCAAAAAGCTGCGAGGAGGACAACTAAAAAAGTATATGGATGTTAAATAATTTTATTAAAAAAATATAACAAGAAACTATATTTAATATATTATTACTTACCTTTCGAAACAGCGATCAACATTATCAGACATTAGCAACAACATACATAGCTGTTCGAGAGCAATCAACTGCATATCGCGTTCATCTCCTTGTCCCATAGAGAGCCACTCTAAGAGTGTCTCAGGATCAACGTCGCCCATCTGAAATTATAATAATAATATGGATATAGTATTAGTCTTTAATTAAGTTTATTAAAAATATTTGTTTTTATATTAAATAATCTGCACTACTTTCCTATATAACAGATCAAATATATAGTCTGTTACTCTTAAAAGTGAGCATTTGTAATTATGTTAATGTGTTATATAGCTTTGAAAATTAAGTCAATCCTTTTTTCAAAAGTCCATTTTATCTGCTTTGAAGCTGACTCTTTCTCAATTAAAAACCTTCTATAATGCTGTTTAACTACTTTACATATCAATGTTCATCACAGATAGTAACACGATGAGAAAACATCATCGTGCTATCCGCAGTTCTCATAATGTTATCTAATTATATATAAAATCATCCGCAGTTTCTAAAAAGACTATCTCTACTACCTCGTATCTTATATATAAATCATCAACATTTCCTAAAAAGACTAACTCTACTACCTCTTATCTTATTATATATAAAATCATCCATAGTTCCTAAAAAGACTATCTCTACTACCTCTTATCTTATTATATATAAAATCATCCACACTTCCTAAAAAGACTATTTCTTCTACGTCTTATCTATCTTATTATATATAAAATCAAAATATTTAAGGTCTTGGGTTATTGCTGCGCCGACTAAATCGGTAATTCATTGCTTAGTAAGCCTCACAATAAATAAAAATTAACTAAGTTTTGGAGGAAAATAGTTTACTGAATTGAACTTATAGGTATTGCATATCTGACCTTCATCAATGCCATAATTGATATGCTCTCGAAGCATAAATAAAATTATAAAATGTTTCAGTGTTTTTTTTGGCTGATTTCCAAGATTTCATAAAATGTAAATATATTTCACTGTTCTCATCATACAAATATATTTGGACATATACGAATTTCGACTGCAAAATAGGTAAATACACACACCCATACACATAAAAATACTCGTAAATAAAATTAAGGTAGCAAAAAATTATTTCTTAAACATTAAATTGGAAAATAAACAAATATGACAATGCAACGCACTTTGAGAAATCAAACAAAGACTTTTTTGGTGCGAATTCTTCTCTGGCCAATCTTTCGAAATTCCCTCTTCTTTACTTTTTGCGCAATTAATTTTTTATCACTTAATTATTGTCTATATAAATTCTCTAAATACTTTTTGCTCTTGAAAGATATTTCCTGTATAAAAACCAACAGAAAATGAACCTATATACAGAAGCATATCAAGGCATATAACACCCTACAGTAGAAGTAGAACCTTCATTTCAGATTAAGGTAGCTATATTCAACTTGACCAACATTTATTAAAAGTATTTCAACTGTTTGTGTGGCAAACATTTCACTAAAATATATATATTTTTGTATTTTTACAATTAAAAAATTAAAAAATAAAAATATATAATATAATATATATACAATATAAAAAACTAAAAAGAAACTTTCCACCCATCAAGAAACTCTAAATGCGATTCAAATAAATAATAAGGTAAACCAGAAGACGTCAGAAGGATGCTAATTCTCAGCTAAACTTTTTTAAATTGCTAGTAACCGCCTCTTAAAGCTGTTGTCTCAAAGAATAACTGATACATGACAACAGAAGAAACTATTTGATTAATAAAGCATTGAAATTATATGCCCGATTTGCAATAACGGAAGTCCAAACTGTGTGTGCCAATTACAGAGCTACATATTGGACTCTTCGCTTATAAAACTCTGAAAACTGTTCTTTATGTTAGACTAAAACAACAGAATATAGTAAAATAGTCAGTTAATATTAAAGTGAATTTACTTCTAATAGATCGGCGACAGATCAAATTATTATTAGAATTTATTTTAAAAAACTATAGGCTATGATCTCGAAAAAATTCTCATGACTAAAACGAGAACTTGTGATACCTAAAAAACTGACAAACGTTTTAAAAACGGATATATAATAGCCAATACCAGAGTCAAAATTCAAAACGATCCAAATTTATTTTCAATAGTGGACTGAAACAAAACAAAGCAGTGTCATATCTACTTTTAGTAATGCACTTGAAAAGTTCATACAAGATGTTTCTAATAAACTTAAGAGGAACAATACTCACTAAGTTATCACAAGTATATATATGCATATACTTAGGCATATGAGAAAAGATAGTTCTTACGAACAATGAAAAAGATTTTTGTATACACAATTTAAAGACGCAGCAACACATATAATATATATCGTTAAAGCCACAATACATACATACCACTTCTTATAAAACGACGTAGCTTGTTAATACTCAAACAAAAAACAGAAAACAAGAAGTTTTGAATAGTTAAGTTTTTTACATACACAACAACAAAAAATTTATTTATTTATTTATTTAACAGGATGTGTTTTTGTTCAAACAATAACCGAACTTAAGATCATGAGTATATGGGCCTTCAAACCAAATGAAGACATTTAAGGAGAATCTTATATACTTAATGTACGTATAAAGAATTAAACAAACTATCAAAGAGCAAGCAGTTATCTAGCATATCAAAGACCTTATTATACAGCGACTCTTGTAAAATTCATCAGTTTAACAGCGAAGCAGATATTGGAAAAGATAAAATGATCAGGACTTATACTCAGAGGACAATAATACATTTAATGAAGTGTAATAAAAATAAAATATAATAAATTAAAAATAATTTAAAAACAAAATTAATAATAATATATTGCGGAACAACCGAGGAAAATCATGATCAAGATGGATGAACAAAGTGATAAAGGATAGACATAAAGTTATTTTTTGAAACGATTGAGATCTGAACTAAATAGATTGTTCTAAATAATGTTGTAATCTAAATAGTTGCAATGCTCCCTGACCTAACCCTGACCCGCTGGGACCTAAAAGCAGATAACATGAAAGGTTTTACAGGAGGAATATATGGGTTAGAATGTAGTGGGTGATGGTTGAAGTTAGGTAGGAAAGGATTAAGAAAGAAAGGGTCGATCAACTCAGATTCGAACGAAAAAATCTGGCCACTTTAAAGAGGTTAGTCTAAGAACGACCGGGTGTACGTATCAGAGCCACCCGTCAATCTTGACGACCTAGTGACATTCAACACCCCCCAAAGGTACTTTACAAGCAGGTATGTGTTTGTTTTAACATTTGTTTATAGAATGCCTATATTTTGAGTCTAAACTGCTAGAAGTACTTGATAGTTGCCTGCACAGATGAGTATTTTTCTTTTATTATACTTATGTCATATTTTTTTTCTACTTGGAAATTGAAAACTTATGCTCAAATTATTAAAACACCAATTAAATTTAAATAAAAACAAACAAAAACCTAATTTGATTAATTTGAAATTTGAAATCGTGAATAGATGTTGCAGCATAGGATTCGGGCAATTTGAACATATTAAAATCATATCTTTGCTATCTTTATGAGCTATAACTGATAGTTTACGGTACTTTAATGGACTATCAGCTTCTTGCCTGACTATTTCATTTTGTACTCTGTATATTTTTGAAAGCACACTAAACTACATAAATCTATAGGTTCCACTCATCGATCTAGACGATTACAGAAGCAGATCCCGGTGAGTGGCAACAACAACAACGTAAATCTATACCAGAAGATCACATAAATTATATAATGGAATTATACATTTAACATTACCAAAAGAGATCACACAAGCAGATCCCGGTAGGTGGGAACAACAACAACTTAAATCTATACTAGAAGATCACATAAATTATATAATGGAATTATATATAAAGATTTTATTTTACAAATTCTTCTCAGAATTCCTGTTAATCAGTCATTCAAATGGGTTTATTCTGTCAAAGTAAATGCCAGTATACGTGGAATTATTTGTATAAAATATAATATTGTTATATTTAACAGAGAAGTGCGTTATCTTTCGCAACTTAACAATGAATGGCTTTAGGATAAAAACTTCTAGAATTTATCATTAATTCCAATATGAAATTAATTATATAAACTGTTGGTCTAATTATAATTTACCAAAATAAGAAAACAGACATTGCCCTTATAAAGATTTATCGATTCTATAACAACCATGGATAACATGATATAATGCGAAAAAATAAAAAAAAACTTTCAGAATATTACTTATTATAATATTATATTAATATTATAACACCAATATTAGAATATTTAAAAGGAGTCAGCTTAAAATGAAAGTTTTCATATCAGATTTTCCAAGTACCGGGTTCTTCTATTTCAAGACAAAGTCTTTTATTTCAAAAACTATAATTCATACTAGTGCTGTTCATATTCGAATTTACGAAGTATTCGAAGAAATTCGAATATTCGAATAGTAAACGAAGTCTTCGAAGTTGGAAAAAACTTCGAAGTTTTTGTGAATTTTTGTTCTCGAAGTCTTCGAAGTTTAAATGTAGTGAAAAACTTCGAAGACTTCGAAGACTTCGTAAGCAAAAGGTGAAGTGAGAGCGCAAAATGCAAACAAACGTGCATCACACAAATTATTTGAGGGTTGAAAGCATTTGCTTCGTTTGAACGGTTTTATGTTTTTTTTGTTGTTATTCTATGCAGAAAATTAAAAACATGTTTTTTTGTTTTATTTTATTACATAAAATTTATTTTATTATTAAATATGTATTATAATATATATTATTTTTAAATATGTTATTATTAAATATTTTTTATATTAAATAAAAAATTCACATTTTAAATAACTTATATTTATTATATATATTTAAAAAATTATATTTGAGAAAATTTTTAATATAATATAAAATATATACGTAATAATATGAAAATATTGATATTGATGGATTTTATTAGTAATGGAATTTTATAAAAGTTTTCATTTTCCTTTTCAATAAAATCACAAATTAAAATCTTGAAAATTAGTTATGGAAAAATGAGTTTTGCTTATTAATGCCTAATTATTTGACCTGTATGAGCTGTGATGATCACGCAGGCAAGCGCAAATTTATTTTTGCATTATAAAATTTTGAATGTTTTGTTGTAGTTACAGTTATTTTACTGTTTATGGAAAAATTTTAAATCCCTTATTCTAGGAAAAGAAATACATAATATTATAAGGAAGTATCTAAATAAAATGTAAATTAGTGTATAAGCAAAATTGTATAAAAGAAATTCCATCAAATTTTCATGTATTTTATATTATATTAAAAATTTTCATAAATATAATTTTTTACATATAAATAATAAATATAAGTTATTTAAAATGTGAATTTTTTATTTAATATAAAAAATATTTAATAATAACATATTTAAAAATAATATATATTATAATACATATTTAATAATAAAATAAATTTTATGTAATAAAATAAAACAAAAAAACATGTTTTTAATTTTCTGCATAGAATAACAACAAAAAACATAAAACCGTACAAACAAAGCAAATGCTTTCATCCCTCAAATAATTTGTGTGATGCACGTTTGTTTGCATTTTGCGCTCTCACTTCACCTTTTGCTTACGAAGTCTTCGAAGTCTTCGAAGTTTTTCACTACATTTAAACTTCGAAGACTTCGAGAACAAAAATTCACAAAAACTTCGAAGTTTTTTCCAACTTCGAAGACTTCGTTGAAATGCGAATATTCGAATATTCGAAGAACTTCGAATTTTTAAAAACTTCGAATAATGTGAACAGCACTAATTCATACTACGAAACTTAAGATTTTTTAATATATAGCTTTTTTTTGGATTGCATGGATTATTCTCTAAGAAAAGCAATTATCATTTTTTAGATATTTAATTACTTACATTGTATTAATATGTCGATTAGGTATTTCACAATTAAACTTTCCTTTCTTTGCGTAATATTCAGTTGATTCTGAAAAATAAAAACATAATATTTAAATATATATATTTTTTTTGCCAAATATATGAATTTTATATTATGTAAAGATATGATAAGATTATTAATTACAATTTTGTTATTAAACTTGCGAACAGCTCAAAAATTTGATGTTCTTGGTTTCACACTTAAGATTTTGATGAAAATCGAAAAAGTTATATCTTAAAAATTGTTTTCTTAACGGTTTGATCTTGAGTTTGAAACGTCTTGATATTCGTCGTTGATCTTAAAAGTTTTAAAATATTCTTGACATACAATGTTTCCAGTTGTTTTAAAGCTCAATTAAGATGTTCTTTTCAAAATGCTCTTTTCAGTTAAAAGGTTCAAAATTCTAAGTTGCCAAAAAACCAAAAAACTTCTTCGAAGCTGATCGGAGGACTGCAACTCATTCCAGTAGCGCACTTTCCTATATGCAATTTGTATTATTTTAATCGATTATTATTAACTTTTTTCTTAAAGACGCAGTTTTTAAAATTTTGAATTACTTAACTCGTGTCTGTTTAGATATATTACTTACTTCATTGAATTCGTTTCTTAAGTTATATATAGCGAATCCTTGCGTAATTCGGAATTTTTCACCTAATAATATTGCTTTTATTTATTTTAATCTGACCATTTAAACCGTAACTATAGGCGTACATAGAGCGTAGCAATCAATTAAATACAATGGAATTTGTTCATGTCATCGCAAAAATAAAACTTGCTGCGTATGTTAAACCTCAAAGATTTGATGGTTGTCTAGAAAACTTTATTAACTTTATTGTATAAATAATTGTCTATAATTAATGCACTTTTTTATTCATATAATTTTTATGTAAACAAAAATAAATAAGTATTCTCCGATTAAATATGGCGTGCATACAATAACAAAGTAATAGTTTTATGATAAACATGTCTGATACTTTGTCATAAATTATAATGAAATAACAATGATTGATCATTTCTAATATTAATTTACAATCAAGCTCACACAAAATATATACTTGTATATGAAATATAAAGCTGTTTCTTCAACGAAACAAAAAAATTAAACTTACAAAGAAATAGACACCTAACACCAATGCTTATTCTTTTTTTAGAATGGTTTCATATTCCCAATGAACTATAGTTTTTATCGATGACGAAAGACATCCTTAACTTTAACTATTTTGTTTAAATAGGGTCTGGGCGAAAAAAAATATAGATACTACTCATTTATGAGATTAACAGGGACTTTGTTTCTTAGTAAAAGAGAGTCCACAATTCTATAATCAAAGGGATTCTGGGATTGTTGTAGTTTAAAAACGTAACCAAGTTTTGTTTAATACTAAAATGGACAGAATATACAAAAAAAAAAAAAAATATTAGTATTTGTTAAACGCGTAAGAAAAGTTTTCACTAAGAAACTGTAGAATATAAGAAAGGCATCTAATTGTCAATTACTACTCATAGCTAAATCCTTCCCGAATAAAGAATAGAGATATAGCAAATATGTCACACAGTTTATCAATATACGATGCTTAAACAGTAATATATCTATGAGCTTCAGGTGTATAAACAAAATAACTGAGCAGTACATTGCGCTCTAAACCCTAAGCAACGCTTCCTCTCTAAACCCTGCTACACTCTATTTAGTTTGAGTTATAGAAAGTTCGAGTTATGTAAGTTTGACTGTATATCACAAAGGTTATCGAAGTATGATAACGTTGTGCATAGTAGTAGGTATTAATGAACAAAGCAAACCATAGTTACACTGTAATATAATTATGAGTTCTGATTATGTAAACAGAATGATTGAGCTGCACTTTGAAGTATTTGACAACTATTAGAGTGAACTTCTAAAAGTTCTGGTCCAAAAAGGGTCAAGTCTACCAAAAGAGACAAAACAAGCAGATCCCCTCGGAATACAACAACAACAACATCTGAAGTTTGTAGAAATATGAAAAAAGTTAAGACAGTACTTATACGAAACCACAATATTGGACAAATATATAAGTCTCTTCTCACTAGAACCTGTATTATGAATACTATTATGCTAAAACAAGGTTTCATCAGAAGTTTTGCTATAATGGATTTGGCAATATATGTAACTTAATATATGTAATCATTACATTTACCTAGAAATTCCTTATGGACAAGTAAAGCTTTAAACCATATGTTAAAATGTAAGGTGTGTTGAACGAAAGCTGTCATATGTTTCATTGGAAATACGAAGATATCAATATCAATAAATCAACTGCGTAGAATTAATGTAAAATTAACTCAATCTACTATAACTGTGTATAACTATTTAAATAATATCATGCTCTTAAGAGTTAAAACAAATTACAATCAATAACAACACAGCAATGACGACGATGATTATAATAATCATAATGATGATGATGATTATGAAGATGATGATGGTGACAACTTAATAAATAAACCATATGCAAAATTACAACAACTAATTCACACATAAATAGTAAATGCATTTCACTTCACTTTAGAAAAACACATGCGAATATTTACAGATAGATTATATACAGGCAGATACATATATATGAGCACAATGTCCATATCTCAACAAACAGAAGTATGCACCTGTGTTTAGTACATTTATGCAAATTTACAAATTGATACTGCATATTAACTAACCAAGGCAAAAAAGAGGTGAGATGCACTGACATTAAGTACACACACTTATCGGAGAAAAATTAATGTAGTACACACAAGAGATTATTTAATAGTTAATTAAAATGGATGGCACCATATTATATATTGCATTTTAGATACAAATTTCGAGTTTGTAATTTTTATATAGTACATAACTGTTAATACCGAGAAAGAAACTTAAATTCGCTCATGCAAATCGTGACCACTTTTTGGTCGCCATTATTTTCTGATCTTTTTTAGTGATTCTTTTCGTAACAGTACAATAACCAAAAATGAATAATTTCGCACATACCCTAAAATAAATTATTTTACAAAATAATATTAACCACACTCAATTATTCTACATTGTTTTTGTAGGCGCTAATATTAAAATCGATTGAAAATTGACATGAGCACAACTAACAAATGATGAAATGTGAAAGCCCAATACTTTTTTTAGTAAGACAAAGAGAAAATGAACTGCTGAGAGTCAAGAGTCAGCGCAATTTTGATTCACTGAAAAAATGCCCTTAAATAACATTAGATGCAAATTAAAGTAATGCGTTTTAATATATTTTATCTATTTTAATTTTGTACTTACCAATTATACAATTTTCAACATCTCTACCAATACGTTTTATTTTATGTTCCTCCGTTTGGCTCTTTGAGGAGAGCGTACTTTTGAATTTTTTTCGATACCGAGATATATGAAAATACTGCAAATTTATAGTTAAATCAAAATCATTTCCGTTTTTTTTTCAATTTTAAAACAAAATTTATAAAACCTCATACATTTGTAAATAACTTTCTTTTTTATGCCAATTTTTCTAATTTATAAAACTTTATAATAATCCATACAGAAATTTTGGATGACTTTACACCAACAGAAATTTTACACCTCTTCCCCGAAATATAGAAAACCGACTAAAATGAACGGAAAAGTGTTGCTCGCGCTACCGCGAGCATGCTATGTTGAAAAAGTAGTAAACGAAACATACATTTTTTATTCCCTGTTTACACATAGGGCAAATAATATTAAGAAAAAAAATTTTTTTTATTTTATTATTTTTAAATTAAAGCAATCTAAGATTATATGTACGATATTTATTTATTGTAAGTTATTTCAATAGTGACTAAGTTTTACACATACAGTATGAAGTCGATTAATGCAACTAATCGAATTCGAGAGTGTTGCAATAATCAAGGTGGTTGCAATGATCGAGTTTAGTTCACTTAAGGCATCTCAAATTTTTAAATCAAACAAAGCGACATTAACACAAAGTTTATTAGAAAATGATATAATTACTTATTTCTATTTATAACAACATAATTGCAATCATAGTTTATGATAACTTATTTCAGTTTGCTTTTTATTGCAATTAAGAGACATTGTAACGCCCTCATTTTTCAAATTTTTAAGTATTACAACTTTTATAAGAAGTATGGAATTTTCCTCAACCCATTGTATGCATGCGTTAAGTACATTTATTGCCACATCATTTTTGATTTTAAGTGTAATTACTTGGTCTCAGTTTCCGAGTCAGAATCAATGTCAAGTTGTTCAGCAAGAGACACATTTTCCATAGAAAATTCATTGACTCAGTCATCCATTTCTTGTTGAGAAATAACGTCTGAAATAATTTCATGATAATATTTTTATAAACCGAGAGTGTGTTCCCAAATTCTTATGATTTAGTATAGGAGAGCAAATAAATAAACATAAGTGACAAATAAAATATTAAGAATACAAGAGAGGCAATTAATTAGCAAAAGTTGCATTCTTCGCGGTAGTCAATTTTCTAAGTTGCAATATCAAAGGTATTACTGATAAAATTTAAGAGGTTCCCATAACCGAGGAGTTGCGATATTCGAGGGATGCATTAATCAAGATCGTACTGTAACTTGTTTATATGACAGTAACAGTTTTATTGTCTACTAATTTCTGCTAAGGTGTTAAAGTGTGAAATTGTAAAATGGAAATATATTTTGTGTTTGAAGCAGTGTTGGCTAATTCTTTTAATATCATCCCCAAAGTAGTATATATGATTAAATCAAAAATTGCTAAACTATTATATATATTGACATTTCATTTGAATCATTTGGCATTTTAGTATTTTATTAAGTTTAGCATGTTAAATTAGATCGCACATATATTAAAGTGTTATACTGTCAAATATATGCTGAATGATTTGTAAGTAATTTGTTAAATTGTTATATATAAATTATTGAATGAATTGTTACTAGTTTAATTAAATTTAATTTTTTGAAAATCACATATATTGAGGCGGACAATTTAAGGAACATTTAAAAATTAATAAATACAATAAAAAAAATATTACATGTAATCCTAGATTAGTGTTGCGTACGAGTGAAGCATGCTATTTAAGAATCGCGAAAAGGTCATTTATAATTATTCATCATAATTAAATTATAATTAAACTAGTAACAATTCATTCAACAGTTCATATATAACAATTTACCATTTTGCATAAAAATCACTCAGCATATATATGACAGTATAACACTTTTATATGTGCGATCTAATTTAACAGGCTAAACTTAATAAAATACTAAAATGCCAAATGATTCAAATGAAATGTCAATATATATAATAGTTTAGCAATTTTTGATTTAATCATATATACTACTTTGGGGATGATATTAAAAGAATTAGCCAACACTGCTTCAAACACAAAATATATTTCCATTTTACAATTTCACACTTTAACACCTTAGCAGAAATTTAGCAAAAATTGTGAATATTTTGTTTATTTGTTTACTATGTTACACTTATAACATAATTATTTTATCTCAATAATAAGTTAATATAGGAGTTTTCTTTGACAAATTTGCACCGTTATAGTTTTGGGGCACTCTATTTAACGACAAAATTTGGTGAAAATAGCAATGCTAATCAAATTTTTCCACATTGTTATACTTATATATTGATATTTCTCGATTGTTGAAAAATAGAGTTTTAAAACAGCAATACTATACTTAATAAATGAAATGTGTTTGTATATTTCTTCTTGTCTTTAATCACCAATGACACCATGTGGTCCTGAACAGTTCATTGAATACCACATATTGAGAGTAGACCTGTACAACATTAATGCTGACAGTAGTGCTATTTAGATTAAAAGATTTGCACGTAACATTTGATGTACTAATATCGAATTTAGTATGGTACATAAATCAATAAGGACATGAGACTGAATGGTTTATAGAACTTTGGCTGGTCCAGGGTCTTATTTCCTGACGTAATAAAAAAATTACAGTCCTCTCTAGAAGTGCGAGATATAACCTGTAGTAAACCAAGCTCCAAGTAGTTCCATTGATGGGTACTCGTGCATTTCAGTAGTAATACAGAAATGAACCATCATCGCCAAGCGCTTTAAATGATTAAAATGAGCTAATTTTTAATATCACTTTGTCCTTGTAAGAGATATCACTAGATTGTGCATATTACTGACTCGTGAGAAAATAATCTTGCCTGTCAATGGACTTTGAGCTCGAGGATTTTTTTACGACCAATTATAAAGAAACTACTAGTTTTTTCATTTGTCATACTCTAGGGTAAATAACCATAAGTAACATGGGATTGAGAGAGATAGTGAAGTGCCGATTGAGAGAGATAGTGACGGTCAACTTTTCACAGGCTGTCTGATGACTTTGTGTGCACAAATTGGACCATCTTAATTTTTTAAGAAAATTCACACCGGATTTTGGGGTTGCCAAATTAAGGTTTCCGACTTTGGCGCTGCAGAAAGTAAGACCGGACGTTGTTAAGAGCACTCTGTCGGTGTTGGAATAAGATGATTCAGCAGTTTAGAAAATCGAAGCAACAAGTTCGATCATTTTCTACCTCCTCATGGAAAACGAAGGTCTGCCTAGGTCGTTCTTGATTCACACCCCAACGAAACCACGGTGATGGAGGGTTTCAGCTCAATAGCTGACAGATGTTCAACATTTAATGATGATATTTTGGACTCATTTGAAGATAAAACCTTCAGAATGGTATGCAGTTAGCCTCTACAAAGCCCATTAGTCGTAAGAAATCTAAAACAAGAGCCCGACAGCTATTCCGATTTCGCATATCAGAGACTAATTAACCATGGCTATTCATCCCTCGCCATATGCTGGGTGGACCTGAGTTCAAGATTTTATTTGATCTCCGGCCCATTAGAATTAGCTAGCATTTATAGTTGAGACATGAGCATGCCATCGCGTTAAGGATGTAAACAGTACGTATATACAAAATAATTGTTGTATAATATGTAACAAAACAAATTTTTTGAATTAGCAAAAATCACTTGAGTTTGTATGTAAGATGTACATTAGTTTCATCCAATCAAATCAACAATTTCATCAAAGTTTTACATACTTTATTTAAATTATTCGCGAACGAAAAAGTAAATAAATGCCAACATCTCAGCAACAGGACTTTTGCGGTCAAAATTAATTCAGCTATGTTCAAAGGATTTCCCATCTTAGTTGGTATTCCTCAAAGCTGAATCATTGTCCATTTTATTTTTGATAGTAATATATCAGATATTTCCATTCTTCTTATTCATCCACACAAGGTTCAATTTTCCTATTCTTTTCACTTATTTCGTAATGGAAATATTATGCTCAACCTTTCCGAAATTTCAGTGGGTGCATCAATTAGATGTAAAGAGTGGACAAAGAGGTTCATAGACGGCATTGTTATTATAAAAGTCGGCTCTGCAATAGGGAACAGATATCTAGAGCGACATTTATATAGGACAATTTATAATAAAATTACTGCGATGTAATTTTAGGTGTTATGAAAGACATAACACCTAAGACAGTGGCCGCAATATTTTATGCACCTTGGCTGTCATGATTTAGCACTTAACAATAATCACCTCCACCAGCACATCTAATTTGAGTCTAAATTATTTAAATCCTTGATAAATTTTCGAGCATTCTGTAGTTTGAATCATAATAAGCTCGGTTACAGTTAGTCTACACTAAGTCTTCACACTCATTCATCACTTCAGGATGACGCAAAATTTTTAATGCAACTAAGAGAACCTTTTTATAAATATAATTACTTTTATTCACAAAGACTCAACGCTCTGATTACGAAGTTTATCACTCCGGAAGATAAGATATCGAGAAGATGAAATGAAGCATCATTGAAGCCACTAAAGAAAACCCAATTGACTGATCAGATAAAGAAAAGTAGGTTTTAAAAATATTCTACAATGTGAAATGTGTTTATTTTTTTACCTCTTGTCTTGACTATACCATATTGGGTGGTCATGTATATTTATGAGTCTTATATTTCTAAAAATTTGATGTTACTTTGTCAATTCAAATATTGTCTATAAAGCGATTACTATTTTTGAGCTAGTCTCCAAATCTGTTTTAGAATAGATTTTGTAATCAATTTTAAAAACGTTTACCCACAAAAATTGACAGAATTTTAAGATTGGTGTTAGTTGATGCTTTAACATACCTAGTAATATTTTGTCCGTTCGTCTGGTTGGCTGGAAACCAACTTTTAGAAAGAGTTGAATTTATAGTATCATGCAAACAGTTTTGATATATATTTGATAGATACTTCAAACAAATACTCTGATGTTTTGGTACACAAGTTAAAAAAAAATAAGCACTCGCCTTATTGTTTATATTGTTTAATATTATTCTTATATGCTTTGAAACGGTCAAAGTTGCTTGCTCATATACATATCAAGTCATGAGATCACCTAGTTTTCCGAGATATTCGAAGTCTTAACTGCAATATACGTTGAAGCATAGTTTACAACAGGATTAATTAACGGTTATACAAATATATATTCCCCCGACTCAAATTGCCATTGCGAGGAACGCGTTTTGAGATCATAGAGGCCATAAAAGAGAATTCGCTGCGTGAACTAAAGGCCATACCTTCGGCTTCCTATAAAACTTGTGTGGAAAATTGGATTAAGCGTTGGCATGCATGTATTGCCGCAGGAGGAGAGTACTTTGAAGGCGATAATAAAGAAAATCATTA